GCTTTGTTATTGCAGGAAACCGGAGAACGCGGGATGTGCCAGGGCCAAATGTCAAGAGTTAATCTGTGGCAAGAAAAAATGGGAAAACATGCCAAGCCTAGGTTTTTTAATTCTGAAAAGTGCCATTTCAAATCCATATCACAAATACTCCCTTAAAACAGATTACCTGAAATATCACTCATGAATGTCTAGCTATTATCCAGAACTAAATATCATAAGATTTTTTTTTTACTGCAAAAAGTTCTTCGAATTATTCTTAGTTTAATACTAAGACCAAAAGGTAGTAAGAAACAAATATTCCTTGCCTGTGCCTGGATTTGCAGCCTGTGGGACATCCCTGGGCATTGTCACTTTAATCTTAAAACAGCAATATGGTCTGTTATATGTCTCATATTCCTATTATATCCCTGCATTATCAAGGCCAACAAATAGGATTTGTCATTAAGAATGTCACAAAGGCGGCACCAGGAAATGACACTTACTGAGTCCCCATTGCATGCCAGATAATGTACAAGTCCCATTCACACACGTGATCTCATTTAACGTAATGGCACTTTGAGGTAGGGAATCGCCTCTTCTTTATAGAGTAAGATATTGAGGGTCAGAGAGGCCAAATGACTTGTCCAAGCTTATGTGGCAGGACGTTGGATTCCAAACTCACTCTGCTTGATTCTTGTTCAGGGTCCCCTTGAAGAAGACCAAACTGCCTCTTTGCTAAGGTCAGTGGGACTCTAGAGGAGACAGGAAAATAAAATGTGAAGGTCTGAGATCACTTCATGGACTTGTAAGTGCCATTGCAGATTGGAGAAGATAATTAGACTTTGGGGAGGTTGCCTGGACCTTCCCGGTGAGGCTGTCCCTTCCACAGCAGGCTTATTTCTTACTTCTCCCCAAAGACCAGCTCTAGGGATCTGTCCAATGAGAGCTTCATTCTGTTTGCTGACCTTTTCGTTGATATAAAACAGGAGTCGGCAGTTGGAGAACCAACACTAATTTGAGATGTGGGCCTTGGAAGATATTTAGGCAGATTTATTTTCCTCAGTATTGTCACAGGGATAGGAGAACAACATGCTCTCAGCTGCTGTGAAGCCAGGTCTCTCAGAATCTCACTGTCTTATTGGCGTTTACACCCAACAGTGTAGGGAGTACACCACCCAGGGTCTTACACAGTGCCAGTGCATAGTAAGTGCTCAGTAAATGCTTGTTGAGTGACTAAATTTGATATCTGTCATTATAATGATGATTCACACGATAAAGTTCAGGCAAAAGTTCCAACCTTTGTGCTGTAAAGGAAGGGTGGTTTCATTTTCCATTGCCTTTAAGGTGCTTACAAGTCAGTTTTCCTAACCTTGAGTATGACAGCAGAATCTGAGCAGCTAGGGCTTTAAGTAATTCTCATGTAGTTCTTGGGAGTCAGGGTTAATAAGCTATTTGTGATTTATAGGGTTTTGTTTACCTTCTGGAAGCATGAAGGAGGAAGACAGGTGAGTTTGCAAAATAAAATTAATAAAATAAAAGTAGCTCTACATAGAGGACTTTCTCAGGATGTCATTAATTTGTGCTTGGTGAAGGCCTTTGGTTGAGAGGCTAGAAGGGGAATAAATATACCAGAGGAGGAGGATGGGAAGGAGGATAAGACTGAAGAATTCCGTTAAAAAGCCCCAGCACCTCACTTGTGTACACTGCCATGGAATTTGCTTTTCTTCCAAGGGAGAATTTTGTTCTCTCTGTGGATATGAATTAGGGAGTCTTTTTCAGTGTCTGGGAGGAAATGAGAAAGAGGAGGGTTTGGTCAATTTTGTCTTTATCTTGTCTAGGTACCAGGGGTGACTGGAAAGAGTTTCCATTAGGCTTGCTCTGGTGGGAGAGCTTCAGGAAGTCATATAATTGGGAATGCTGTGCACATGATTTTAGGTTTGCAGAACTCCTATTGATCCTGTAAGACCCAACTTAAATACCTCCTCCACTTGGAAGCGTTCTCTGATTTTCTCACTGTCCCATTGTCATTGTGTAATAACACAGCATCACATGTATGCTTTCCTTATGGTATTTATCACAGCACAGTAATTATTTTTTGACAGCTGGCACTGTGTCCTCTCTGTGAAAGCAGGGCTGTGCTTTACTTTCTGTACATCTAGGTCCGGCAGAGCACCTGGCACTGAATAGGCTCTCAATAAACCCTGCAGCATGGAAGGAAGCAAATCCTCACCTCCTTTGCTCCTAAGTGTCTTTCCAGACCAACTCCATCCGATGTCCCATAGGGAGAGGCATCACAACCTTAGACGACAGGGACTGGACGGAGACTAGCAGGGACAGCACTGAGAGAACTGGAAGCATCTTCCGTGAGCTCCCTTGTCTGAGGCAAGGGGATGACTGTGTCACAGAAGCCAGACTCCCCTAAACATTGTGCAGCCTTGGACAAGTCATTGCCATTTCCAGTCCTCAGTTTTCCCATCTGTAACATGGGAAATCATAGACCATACCTCATAAGGTGGCTGGGAGCATTAAATGAGCTTCTTCCCATGACACGCTCAGCCCTGCCCCTGAGAACTTAGGAAGTGCTCAATAAATCTTAGGTATTATTTAGCTCCTCTGAAACAGATCTGTGTAAAACACAAAGGGCAGCTTTTTTAAAACATCAATTTTGTCTTGCCTTTATCATCCCTTTTGTTTAACCTTTCATCTTTCTTTTACCCTTTCAGATTAAAAAAGCTAAGAAAATATAGTATAAAAATAATATGGCAGAACTCAAATGCCTCCTGTTCCATTAAGCCTTCCCTGCCTGCCACTCATGCCTAGGATTCATCTCTCTTTCTGCTCCCACACTGTTTGTGCCATAACATAGCATTTATTGTCTACTATCTATTGCGACGTTCCCACGCCAAATCCAATCTGTGTGAGTGGCATAGCTTTGATGATGTTCTCTGTGGTTCTGTCAGCTGTGCAGCTGTTTCTCCTCCTTCCAGGATTTAGAAACAGACCTTGATGTCTAGTGCAGAGTCTGGGTATGGCAGAGAAGGCCCAGCTGGGGAACCAGATTCCGGCCAGATGAGTCACTTGACTCTTCTGTCTCTATGCACAGGGGTAAAGTGATGATTGCCTTGCTGATTTAGAGTGGCTGAGAAGTGTAAATGGGATACTTTAATGACAACCTTTTGCAAATCAGATGCAATGGAAAGCTATTATTCTCATTCCTTCTACGGAATGGAAACCTAAGTTAGCAGGTGGGCTTTTCCAAGTGTCAGCTTGCTCCACCGCTCTACTTTGGGTGTTGGGTGTTTTAGATTTTCATTCTGTCTTGAGATGGAGGTGTCCACCAGGCCTCTGGGGTTCTGGTGGCCTGACTTTGCTGGAAGTCATTTCCAAAGTTACAGTTAAGGCCTGAGGAATCTTGGCTTCTTGTTCTCTTGGGCTGAAATGACTTCTTGCTTTCAAAATCTCAAGCAAAGCGAAAAATACCCACTCTCCTAAAAGTAAGGGCCAAGAGTCCCTGGACCACTGTTTTATGTGAGAGATTAATAAAAGCTTAATTGCAAAGGGCAGTTGGAGAAGGAGGCGTATGGGAAACCCCAAACGTTTTGTTTGTTTAATTTTGTTAACTTCCTAGACCTATTTACACTTTAAGAGATTTTTCTTCTCTCAGCACAATGTTGTTCATGTGAAACCTTCCTAAGATTGTTTATCAATGATACCTTAATTTTTAAAAAAAGATTTTTTCTTCTCTCCCTTGCAAGCTCAAATATAGGACTTCTTATTGAATTTGTTAACTCAGAATACTTCTGAATTCCACAGCCTCTAAATTGCATAGGTGGGATAAGTCACTGAGGAATGATATGGATGTACAGAAAAAGATGTTTATTTAAATTGTATTTTTATATCTACATTCCAGGCTTATTATTTTCTGCTGGACATTTTTATTTGCAAGTAAAATAATATGCAGATCCATTTCACAACTTGCTAACTACCTACCAATTAAAGAATTACAAGAATAGAAAATAGTTTATGATATTATCTTTCTGATGGTAATTCTCTTAACTCTGACAAGGTTTTTGAATGGAAGAAATTCAATGACAGTAGATGGAACCCAGGGAATCTCCTTACAATCTCTCTTTTTTTTTTTTTTTTTGAGAGAGCATCTCTCATATTTATTGATCAAATGGTTGTTAACAACAATAAAATTCTGTATAGGGGACTCAGTGTTCAATGCACAATCATTAATCCACCCCCAGCCTAATTCTAGTCAGTCTCCAATCTTCTGAAGCATTAACGCACAAATTCTTACATGGTGACCAAATTCTTGCATAGTGAATAAGTTCTTACATGGTGAACAGTACAAGGGCAATCACCACAAAAACTTTTGGTTTTGATCACTCATTATGAACTATAAACAATCAGGTCAAATATGAATATTCGTTTGATTTTTATACTTGATTTATATGTGAATCCCACATTTCTCCCTTATTATTATTATCATTATTATTATTTATTATTTTTTAATAAGATGCTGAAGTGGTAGGTAGATGCAAGATAAAGGTAGAAAACATAGTTTAGTGTTGTAAGAGGGCAAATGTAGATGATCAGGTGTGTGCCTGTAGACTATGTATTAATCCAAGCTAGACAAGGGCAATAAAACATCCACGGATGCAGAAGATTTCTCTCAAAACAGGCGGGAGGTGGTGGTGAGGTTCTAAGCCTCACCTCTGTTGATCCCCAATTTCTCACCTGATGGCCCCCCTGCGACTGTGCCTGTCTTGGGTTGTTCCTCCCTTCCTTACAATCTGTTTTATCCATTGTTCCTTATAAACTTCAGCAGAAAGAACTGAACAATGTCTATTAAACTGGAACAGGTAACTAATTTATTTCAACATAAACAAATGAATACTTAAGATTAAGTGAGATATTTAAGATATCCCCACTAGGAAGATTTTATCTGGACATTCCTTAAAAAACAAGTAATTGCTACCACAATAAAATGAAAAATAAGCAATTAAACCAAACTTCTCACCTCCTATCAAGAAAGTATCAATATTTTTTCCTTTACTTAAAAGGCAAAATTGGGTTTTGGAAGCTAATTATTTCCCGAAAGCTCTAGAATGAGCGCCATTGAACAGATGCTTCTGTTTTAGGCAACAGTCCATAGTCGAGCTAAAAACATGTGTCTGAGCAGATTGCTGAAGGAACGCCATTCAAGATGCATTTTCAGTTGTATCAGAAAAACGAGTGTTTGTTATTTGGTTTTGGGCTCCACTTTTTTGTGAAAACTGGAGGTGGGCTTTCATCCCTTACTTCCTCTATTTTCTAATTTTAGTAGCAACAGGAAACATTAGGGGTAGATTCGTCCCCTGGGATTCCAGGGGGATGAGGCAGTGCTTACCCTGGCTGATTTCTTGTCCAGTTGCCGTAATCAGGGAAGTCCGCCCTTTACCTCTAGAAGCCCAGGCACCGCCCCCGGCCTGGCGTCGGAGTCCCCCTGCCGCCTCCCAGAGGCATAACACTCGCGGAAGCCTCCCATCTTCCTGCATCTGCTCGCCACGCAGCGCAGAAGAAAATAAAAAACTCTAGACTCTTACCAGCTATTCCCAGGCATCTCCCTGAGGAACCCAACATGCTTTTAAAAATCCTTATTTTAAAGAAAGAAATTAGAAAGAAATAGAAAATAATTGAAATAATTATGTTGGCAGATACAGTGCTTGGATGGACATTCACCTGTTTGATCCACACGTTTGTTGTCATCAGCTGGTTCTTTTCATCCTAAGAAAATAAAAATTAAAAAGATGTCAGTTCAGAGTAAGGGAAATTGTGCTGTGGGGTTTTTTGTTTGTTTGGTCAGGAAGACCTCTCTGAGTCTTACCTTTGAGGAGGTCAAAGTGTAAAGGGTTCACAACTTAAGAACAGGTACATGGCATGGGATCCTAAAATATGATGCATATTTTGCTCAAAATGAAAAATAATAATTAAAGCAATAGTAGTTCACAGTGGCAATATTTATATAAAATCACATAACCTGGAAGGCATGTTAAGGGTGCAAAGCAGAATGAAATATTAGCTAAATTGTGGGTGGGTTTTGCATGATCTCCCAGGAGTCCTGGGGCATTTCAGTAGCTCAGGTGTGTGTGTGTGTGTGTGTGTGTGTGTGTGTGTGTGTGTGTGTGTGTGTGTGTGTGTGTGTGGTGGAGTAGGGGATTTGGGCAACACGGAGGATTATTCTTGGGCTGTGTGTGTGTGTGTGTGTGTGTGTGTGTGTGTGTGTGTGTGGTGGAATAGGGGATTTGGGCAACACGGAGAATTATTCTTGGGCTTTGGGGACCACCGCAGGATGATTTTGCAGACTTGAGGTTGTTAGAAGTTACTCGGAAAGCAATCATGGCAGAAGCTCAAGCCCAACAGGAAAATCAGCAAATAACATTAAGGTGTGAGTGGTGTTTGGAAAAGGTATTGGGTCCTGAAGACAATGGGGTCGCCCAGGCACATGGTGGGGTGCTGTCACCATCTTCCCTCTCCCTGCAAGTGCCCCTGCAGCCTGGCGCAGTCTAAGTGACATAGATCAGCCCAGATGACAGCAAATCATCCTTGGGCTCAGTCCCCGCTTCCCTCCGGCCCAGCCCTCACCCTGGGTGCCCGTCATTTCACTGGACTCTTGGGGCAGATTTTCTCTCACAGGGAGTTATTCTTAAGGTGGAGGTGGCAGACAAAATAAAATCTTAGACTCCCAAACAGGTTAAGGAATGCATGTTATTTTCAGCTTAGTGCCAAGGATTACTCACCACATCTACAAGCTGAGATATTTTCAATCCAAAATATACTTTTATGGTGTCATTGGAATTTAGTACAGGACGAACCCACTTCTGATAACCTTGGAATAAATGTCTGAGGAGGGCATCTTCATTTTCAGCTATTGAACTGAATCCTGCAGTGGCTGTAAGAACCAGGAGGGAATTTGAATTAGTGGCCAAGGCACAATGGCCGCGTCAGCGTCCTGTGGTTTGGGCCTTATAGTTTGCAAAGAGCCTATCAGCAAAGGCAGCTTTGAGTGTGTAGGAGTTCTTTGCAACCCTCCTCCTTGTCCACCACACAGCTAAAAGCAGCCTCCGTACTTTACCCAGAGCTGTACTCTCTCGAGGGGTTTTCCCTCCATGAGGTCAACACCTCGACCCCCAAAAGATCATCTACAGCCACTTTTTTACCCTCCACCTCATATCTCACCTGAGATGCCACCACCTGTCTACAGACATGGTCTCTGCCACACGCTAGTCTTCCCCACTCCATCCTGTCTCTTGGATGGTCATTCCTGCCTGTGGCTCCCCCAGAGCCCTGTGACGGCAAGCACAGTGTTCATGCTGTGGGGTGAGGTTTATCCAGCACCTGGAACAGCGCCCAGCCCACCGTGGGCCCCTTGTTCCTCTGTTTCGTGCATGAACCAGCCAAGGGGACGGGACATTTTCCACGGCCTCAGCACACATCCATGGGACACGTGAGACGTGCCCTGTGCTGCCCCCTTGCCGCCCCCTTGCCATCTTCTTGAGGAAGACTCCCCCTAGGAAGCCCTTCCTGGCCAAAAGCCAGCTTCTAACACTCTACCCCTAAATGTGCAAAAGCCTGAGAAACACCCTAAGCTTCAATCCTCCATTTAAAGACACTGCTTAGGAAATGCAGCCTAGAGGGAAGTTTTGTTTCTCTTTGATGTGGTGCCGTCCAGTCTGAAACAAAGGAGTTCTTCGCCAGCTGTTTTAAATACAGCCCCTGTTCGTGTATTGAGCATCCTATTAGTATCCTGCACCCACTCGATCCACACTGCTTTACCATGGAAAACCTATATTCCCACCAAGAAACACCCATGAAGGGCAATGATCACATGAAAGACCCACCTCTAGGTTCACCCAATCAAAACCCAGAGATTCTTAGGAAGAAGAGCAAAATGGCCCAAATTCTGGAAGTGCACGAGATCTCTACCTTACTAAGGGCTTAGCACGCCGAAATGCACGTGCTAACGCTCCTCCGGGGAACAGCGGCAGGGATGAGGTGGGCTGCATGCTCTGGTTACCCCCATCCCTTTCTCTTCTGCTCTAGGAAGCATATGAGTGACAGAGAGAGGTGTAACCTTACATTTGCACTTATTTATTTAGAAAGCTAGCTGTCCTCAACTTGGTACTTCAGCCATTCTTAGCAGGCAGAGCTGCATCAAGGAGCATCAAGGAACAGTGGGCTGGGTGACTGCGGGGGCAGCGCCGTGAGGGCCCTAAAACCTTACTGGAGATGCAGGCGAGGGAGCAAAGGGGAATTTCCCAAAGCCTTCTGAGGGAAGAGGCGTTCGCTCGCTGAGGCTGAACTGTGAGAATGACTTAAGCAAGCCACACCGGCCTGAACGTCTTCAGAATCCACGGCAGTTCTGCCCGCTCCCTTCTCCGCCATGACCACCCGCTTCACATCGCGCCCCTTCTCTGTCGGATTTGCGCTGCTTCCGAACGGCTTCTATTCTCGCCCCTTTCACGGACCCTTTGCTGCCTGTCAACCGCACCATCTCGTAAAAGCCGAAGAAGATCATGTCCGTTGGCTTCCCATCAAACTCCGGAAAACCTGAGCTCTCTCCGGGGTCTCGCGGGCCCTCCGTGGCCCCGCCCTCTCCGCGCCCTGGCCCCTCCCCGCCAGGGCCTCCGGCCATCGGTCTCTCCGGAACTTGCAGCCAGCTCTTGCCCTGAAGAGCCCCACCCCCCATCCGTGCACTTTGTCCCACCTTGGCTCACAAGTCCCGTCATCTCCCTGAAGAGGTCATTCTATGTTACAGCACCTAAAACTCCCTTCCGCCCATCCCCTTCTGGCACTTTCTCTTGCATCAGAGCCCTTGATCATATTTTATGTCTCTTTTGTCTGTCTGCCCCTCTGGTCAATGCCGTGCCCTTCTCACTGCAGTGTTCCACTGCCAGGACAGCGCCCGGCGCATGGTGGCCGCTGAGCAAAGGTGCAGGTAGCCATGTGGCTTTTGTTTGCTGACGGTACGTGGAGCGTGTGGCCAGAACTGAATCGCTTGGGAGGAAAGAGAACAGGGAGGCTGCAGCTGCACCCGTCTCTGGCCTCCCCTGTGGGGGCAGGCCCCCACCCCAAAGAGGAGCACTATTTGAGGAGTCCTGTGGTAGGCCCTGCTACTTCCCTGCCCAACAGCCATTTGTCCCTTCTACCTTGATAACAGATACAAAATTTATCAGGGTTGCATGATGCCAGCTTATATGTACCCCCCTCGGGTCCCTTTACAGAGAGGGATGTCCATGTGACATACATGTGGCTGATTAAGACCCAGATGCCACTCGGTAAGGTTTAGAGGAAACATCATGGAGGAGGGTGAACCCAGTTTGCATGCACCTTTCTGCCCTTTAGCCTTTCTCCTTCCTGCCTGTAACTGGCAGACATCGAGACATTTGGCCACCTGAGGATTTCACGCCTGGTGAAAGCTTACAGACATAAGATGGCAGAATAGAGAGACAGATGGATCCGGGGTCCCTGATAGCATTACAGGACCACCACCCCAGCTCTGGACTGCCTGCCTCCAGATTTCTTGGTATGTGAGAAAAACCATCCCCCTATTGACCACTCGGGTCCCTGCTACTGGCTTCAGAGTGCATTGCTGACTGCTCAGAGCCCGGGAACCGCCCCACCCATGGTCCTGGGTCCCAGTCAGCCCAGTGAGAACAAACTGCTTAAATACCATCTCAACACACAAATACACACACTGACTTCTTAGCGTGGACAATTACAGTTCTGGACAAGGGAAAGGGATTCTAGAAGAGCAGAGATTGCTTTTGAACTTACTTTCCTGGCAGGAAAATTGTGCTGTCAGTTTGTAGGGAGGTGGAGTTACACATAGGGAGGGATCCTCTAAAAGTAGAACCATGACATTCCCCAGCACTTGCCACCACTCTCAAAGCCCTCCACGAGGACAGATGGGCCCCACTCCTCACCAGGGCCCGAAGCGGAGGGAGCGACTCTGCTCTTTCAGGGACCTGTGTGTTTTGACCCCTGCTGCTGATGTCATAGGGAGTGCTGCTGGCTGAATGGAGGAAGGAAGAGTGCACATCTGCACTGGCTGTTACGGGTGGAATGTTTGTCTCTTGAAATCCATATGCAGGAGCCCCAACCGCCAACGTGACTGTTGGACTTGAGGCCTATTATGAGGTAACAGGGCCAGACAAGGCCAGGAAGCAGCTGTTCACAAGCCAGGAAGAGTTTTCCCCAGAAACTGAGCTTGTCAGCACCTTGATCATGGACTTCTAGCCTCCAGATCTATGAGAAAATACATTTCTGTTAAGCCACCCAGTCTGTGGGGTTTTGTTACAGCAGCCCTAGCTGACTAGTGCAAATCTGTATTGACCAAAACAGAACTTTCCCTCCCGAAAGGAAGGAAGGGAGAGAGTGGGGGAGGGAGGGACCCCACACCACCGAGTGTCTGCCTTCTATTCTTGGACTGTGTTTCCTTTCCTTCCTCAGACTCTCAGACCCTCTGCTGTCTCCTTACCTCCATATTCAGCCAATCTGGACAAACTCACTCACACCAAAGTACAAATAACTGATTAGACTTAATAGATGAAACTTCCATGACTATTATAGTTTTATTGAAGGCAACACCATTGTTTGTCCTCAGCTAGGAGAGGAAGGAAATAGTGGAAGACTTTCAACCTCAGCAAGTCTGGTGGGAGAGGCGTATTTTTTGTTTTGACACCTTTGGTCTATTTTAGTTTTGCCTTACATTATCTCTACCTTGTCCAAAACTAGCATATCCCAAATGTGGCAGCCTCGTCTGGGCCAGCTCCCAAGGCGGGATCAGCATCTAATGGACCCTTGCTGGCAGGAGAGTTTATTGGAATAATGTTTTGTTCCCTCTTGCATCCCACATGCTGGAACCATTCTTAGGATACAGTTAGATCCTCAATAAATATTTATTGAATGAATAAGCACACATCGTCATCTGGTAAGAGTGACAGGAAGATGCATTTGCAATAACATGGATGGAGATAGAAGGTATTATGCTTAGTGAAATAAGCCAGGTAGAGAAAGGCAAGTACCAAATGATCTCACTTATTTGTGGAATAAAAACAAAGCAAAACAGAAGGAACAAAACAGCAGCAGACTCATACACACCAAGAAGGGATTAGTGGTTACCAAGGGGAAGGGCTTGGGAGATGGGGGGGAGGGAGAGGGGGAGGGAGATAAAGGGGCACAGTAATTGGCAATCACAATATAAGTTGGTCACAGGGACAGCAGTACAGCATGGAGAATATAGCCGATGATTTTGTAACATCTTTCTACATTGATAGTGACCGCACTAGAGGGGGTGAGGATTTAATAATGTGGGTAACTGTTGAGCCACTGTGCTGTGTATTTGAAACCAACATAAGATTATATATCGACAATACTTGAATTTTGAAAAAAAGATTGACAGGAATATGAATAAGATAGATTCCCCATTTCTGGGAGCAGATACAAACACACCAAGTGTGAATTAGCAGTACGAGAGATGGCACATGGCCACACACAATAATCTTTTTCACCAGAGCCAAAAATATGAAAGTGAAGGGTTGCCCCTTGTAATTTGAAAAAGTTGGTTGTACAGATCTAAAAATATATACACACTCTGATGGCTCTAGAAATATTCACAAATGTGAGAGTTACTACATAGATTTGTTAGAGATCTGTGACAAATGTGCACAGCTCAGCCCACATTCCCAAACTCGCAGCCTGCACAGTGGACACTGTACACCCCACCCCCTCCATTTCCAATTTTCTTATGTAACTATGTCTGGAGGAGGATGAGTGGGCGAATCAAGAGGGTTTATGCTAACCACCTCTGCTGACCAGTGAAATGATTTCCCTGGGGAGAGAATAGAAAGAATCAATTCTTTCACAGTAAGCAGAGTGCTCTAGTAAATTAAGGCAGGAAAATATGGGACATGTACATATTAATTGTACACTAAAACACACAGAAGGTGATTATAATTTAATGACTGACACGTTGCAATTCAGACTTTGCAGAGACCAAATCTAGTGATATTTGAAAGTGGATTTGGTGCTGTCTGTGCTTAGAAATTACTCTGTTTTTGAGTCCTCAATATGAGGATAGGCTATGTTTTGAAGAGATGATAATGTTCAGGTGAATGAGCCTAGATTTAAAGTCCTTTCAAATCTAGGGTTTATTTCAGAATTTGGACAAATCTATCTCAGTGCCTCTGGTTCTCCATCTGAAAATTGCAGTAATCAAATGTGTCAAAAATACTAGCAAGAAATAAATACAAATTGCCAATGGAACAACACCTGGCCATCTGTCTCCTGCTCTGGAGAGTTTCCGGTGCCGTGGGAAGAGCCCTCTATTCTTACATTGTATAAAAAAGTGAAATGATTCCAAAACAGAAAACTGGTAGGTGCAAATTACCACTTTTTCCTAAAATTTTCAGTTTTTTTTTCCTTCTTTCCATTTCTCTTCCCTGCCCCACTCTCCTTCTCTCTCTCTCTCTTTTCATCTTTCTTTATTCAAAATCCCTCTATTTTCAGGTGGACAACAGTTGCAGAGAAAATTCTCAAATGTTCAAAGACATTTGATATACATTTTTGTTTACTGGTGATATACACATATGCTAAATAAAGTACAGCATGGAGAATATAGCCGATGATTTTGTAACATCTTTCTACATTGATAGTGACCGCACTAGAGGGGGTGAGGATTTAATAATGTGGGTAACTGTTGAGCCACTGTGCTGTGTATTTGAAACCAACATAAGATTATATATCGACAATACTTGAATTTTGAAAAAAAGATTGACAGGAATATGAATAAGATAGATTCCCCATTTCTGGGAGCAGATACAAACACACCAAGTGTGAATTAGCAGTACAAGAGATGGCACATGGCCACACACAATAATCTTTTTCACCAGAGCCAAAAATATGAAAGTGAAGGGTTGCCCCTTGTAATTTGAAAAAGTTGGTTGTACAGATCTAAAAATATATACACACTCTGATGGCTCTAGAAATATTCACAAATGTGAGAGTTACTACATAGATTTGTTAGAGATCTGTGACAAATGTGCACAGCTCAGCCCACATTCCCAAACTCGCAGCCTGCACAGTGGACACTGTACACCCCACCCCCTCCATTTCCAATTTTCTTATGTAACTATGTCTGGAGGAGGATGAGTGGGCGAATCAAGAGGGTTTATGCTAACCACCTCTGCTGACCAGTGAAATGATTTCCCTGGGGAGAGAATAGAAAGAATCAATTCTTTCACAGTAAGCAGAGTGCTCTAGTAAATTAAGGCAGGAAAATATGGGACATGTACATATTAATTGTACACTAAAACACACAGAAGGTGATTATAATTTAATGACTGACACGTTGCAATTCAGACTTTGCAGAGACCAAATCTAGTGATATTTGAAAGTGGATTTGGTGCTGTCTGTGCTTAGAAATTACTCTGTTTTTGAGTCCTCAATATGAGGATAGGCTATGTTTTGAAGAGATGATAATGTTCAGGTGAATGAGCCTAGATTTAAAGTCCTTTCAAATCTAGGGTTTATTTCAGAATTTGGACAAATCTATCTCAGTGCCTCTGGTTCTCCATCTGAAAATTGCAGTAATCAAATGTGTCAAAAATACTAGCAAGAAATAAATACAAATTGCCAATGGAACAACACCTGGCCATCTGTCTCCTGCTCTGGAGAGTTTCCGGTGCCGTGGGAAGAGCCCTCTATTCTTACATTGTATAAAAAAGTGAAATGATTCCAAAACAGAAAACTGGTAGGTGCAAATTACCACTTTTTCCTAAAATTTTCAGTTTTTTTTCCCTTCTTTCCATTTCTCTTCCCTGCCCCACTCTCCTTCTCTCTCTCTCTCTTTTCATCTTTCTTTATTCAAAATCCCTCTATTTTCAGGTGGACAACAGTTGCAGAGAAAATTCTCAAATGTTCAAAGACATTTGATATACATTTTTGTTTACTGGTGATATACACATATGCTAAATACTCCTACATACACAAATGTATTAAAGTATTTACATAAGCCTGCAAGATCTATTGGATAAAGTTAAGTATCTACACATAGATATGGTGATTACTGGTAGATATGATACAAAAATGTGGATAAATTTCTGTGTCAAATACTTTCACAATTCTCTGAGTAACATTCAGTGCACTTGGTAACATTTCTCCTGATTTTATATCTTTCTGCCAAGTTTGCAATGACGCAAAAAGAAGACAACAAGAAATGACAAAAGCATAAACATTATAGCATTCACAGATATGATTTAGCAATAATCAGATTTCATAGAATTACTCATTGGAGCCACATTTTATCCTAAAGACACCTATACATTATATTTTGTAATTCTAACATTATAAGCACCAGACTCTCTTGCTTAAATACTTCTACAATTATGGAGTTCATGTAGTGTAATGTGAGCTTACCTGAGGAGGTGACACTAACAGCAAGGAGCCCCCGGATGAGGTAAGCCAGTGGCATGATGTCAGCTTTAGGAAGATAATTTCTTCCTTTCTAACCACTGCATGTTTCCATCAGAAAGGGGGCTTTTGCAAAGAAAATGCACTAGTTCAAAGCCCGAAGCAGAACCCCAGGGGAAAACGGACACCTGGAGTCGGGGTAGAACCGTGGGCAACTATCTTGCATCAGTGTGATGTTACTTAAAGTACACTACATTGATTTCCAGTCAGCTGTCAGATCATGTGAGGCTAAAACTATCTCTGGGTCCTAACTCCTGACTTATTAATTTACTCTCTTGCAAAGAGATGCAGGGCAACAGAGAGAGGATGAAGCTAGGAACCTTCTGACTTCTGTGCTGTTTTTCTTAGAGTTGGAGATGTGTGTACAAGAGAAAAACTGCTTTCATAACATGCACCATGGAAGTCAGTGACAAGTTTCTCCTTCATATTTTTTCTGTATTGTCTCTTTATTTTGGACTTGCAGCTTAAGAATAATGAATATGAAGGTGAGTGTCAAAAGATACAAACTTGCAGTTTAAGATACAAACTTCCAGGGATATAATGGGCAGCGTGCATTGCACATTTGAGAGTTGCTAAGGCAGCAGATCTTAAAAGTTCTCATCACAAGAAAAAAATGTTAAATATTTTGCAATAATCATGTCTGGTGATGGATGGTAACTAGATTTCTTGTGATCATTTCCCAATGTATACAAATACTGAGTCGTTATGCTGTTCACTGGAAGCAAATATGTCATATGCCAATTACATCTCAGTTTTTAAAAAGAATAATGAATATGTCCTTCAGCTCCCTTTTCTAACGGTTCTCATGTGTTTTAATGTCAGGGCATCCTCTGTGGTTCCCTTGAATCTGCTGGGTCCACAGGCATAAGTAAGGGCAGAGTTGGGTCTTGCTCTGTTTCCCCTAAGGGACTTGGAGGGCGACGGTGGCACCCTTTCTTTAATTTGCCTTCTTCACAGCTGATCAGATTCTCATCTAGTTCAGAGCTGTCCACACCTAGGTTGCCTCTAATAAACCCAGATTTAATGGGCCAGTGTGAGGCAGGGCCTGGTAGAGGAGAGGGTCAGGTGACAGCAGTTATCTGGCAGGAGATGGAGGGCTGAGGAACTTGACTTGGGAGGTAAGGATTTAATCCAATTTTTAAACATCTTGTAATATCTCGTGAAGCCCCCACTGTGTGCCATTAGCCACTTTCAAACCGCCAGAGATGCTCATAAAAGTAACAACATATAATCAAACAGCCCAGACCTAGGAGGCAGGACTCTGTCCCTCCCCACGTCCCCTCCCTCAGGGGACCCCTCTCACCATATGGCTGTCTCCCTGCTGGACCACACACTCTAAGGAGCAGGCTGGGCTCTGTAATCCCTGCCTCCAGTGTCTGTCACACGAAACACTTAAAAATGCCATCTGAGAGAAAGGAGGAAGAAGACAATCAGGCACTATCAGCTTCCTTATCCATCTGAATTGTGTTTGGGGCCTGCTGTGAATTTACAACCATCTCAGGAATAAATTAGCCATGAATCCAGGGGTGCAGAAACTATCACCTTTATTTTCAATAAATCAAATAAAATGGAGCTTGCCATTCCATGCTGGCAGGAAATTCAGTCTCAGTCATTGCAGGAGCCCCATCCCCTTGCCTAGGAAGTGGGAAGGCTTTTGCAGCCTCAGAATACTGGGCAGGCCCCGTAGCCTCCAGCCCATCTTGATCACAGTGGATGGTCGGTGACCAGCCACGTGCCCCTTGGAACTGGCAGTTTTGCTATCCTCTGCCTGGTCACGTGCCCAGGACTCTGTCAGGTCTAGATGTCTGGGGGGCAGGACCCCCCTCCCTAAGCCTCCACTCAGCTACTGCCCCCTGATGACGGCCACTCCAGGAGCCACCGCTGCTGGAGGCCCAGCCAGCCCCAGGGAGGTTCTCCCCTATCTCCCCTTAGAGCTCCCTTTCTCCGTGAAGAGGCACTCACCGCGTCTCCATACGGCTCTAGTAGTTCCTGGGTGAGTTCAGATTTTCAGTGAAAACACACACACAAAAAACAAGAAGAGAGGTTGTCCTTTAAGCCCCTTCTGTCTTTGGGCCTTATAAACATAAGAAGCCTAGCTCCTTTCTTGGAAAATATGGGAAAAAGCCATACAGAGAACAAAAACACAAATCCTCACCCCAAAAAATCATCCTGTTCGGAGCCCGTGTGTTCTCGTTCCCTCACCTATTCTATGACCAACGGGCAACTCTCCAAGCAGCTGCCTGGAGTGTGGCATGTCTGCCAGAACAGAAATAACCAGAAGTGTGCATCCTAGGACCCTGAGCCAAACCTCTGCCCTGAGTGACGAGTGAGCACACTCGTTCTGACGGCCCTGGGAGGCGGGCGGGACAGCTTCCACGCAAGATGTGCTCAGGATGGTGAAGCAACAGCTGACGGGAGGGGAGGCAGATGCACTTCCAGCTGAGGAGTTTAAAAGTTATGGTCAGCATCCTTTAAATTGGGAAAGTGACTTGACATTATAAAGTAAATTAGTCATGAGGACGGAGGTGACGAGGAAGTAGAAAGTTCTCAAATCCCTCTCCCTCTTGGCAGGTGTGGCGGGAAGCCAAGGAAGCCAAGGAAACAGGGTTTCTATTGAGGCTTCAGAAGTGCAGAGGATTCACAAGGTGCTTGGGTGCTTAGGATTAAAACAATGAAACAGTGTATCCTCCCCCCACCCCACCCGGACTCAGTGGTAGGGAACAGCTTGTTAATCATAGTCATGGAAGCCCATTTGTTTATAATATGGTATCTGGTAACATTTACAGAAGTGGATTAAAATATAACTAGCATCCTGAATACAACTATAATGACCTAATAGCTCCTACTGCAACAGTTTCTGGGTGCTGACTCCCCCCTTAGTCATGAGGATGACCTGCGTGGCCTCACCCCCACTTGTGTATAGGGAGAGACAGGACCCCCAGGACAGCACCTGTCCTAAGTCACGCCTGAGGCCAGCATGGAGGGAGCTGAGCAGGAGTGACAAGGCTCCAGGCTGTGACTTCCTGCTCGGTCATGGGCTCCTGCGGGCAATACACAGGTCGCATCCCCACAGACGGGGACTCAGAGGCTCACACTCCGTCCCTTTTGATGAGCCTCTGCCCACAGCAGCTGCCAGGGGAGCTCACGTGGGTGGTAGGTGTCCTTCACTCCGTGTTGTTTTTAGGTTTCTCCCACTTTCTTAATACGTAATGAATTTTTTACTGAAACTCCCAGGGAGATCTTAAGGAAGTTATTTTTACGAGGGGACGCCCTGCATCGCCAAAGAGGATGAGAACAAAAAACTCACTGCACAAGGACCGAAAGGAAGAGAAAACACGAAGGGGTCATAGGGGGACGTAAAATAAATGACATATTCCTGTCTTTCAAGTGGTAACAGATGATATAGTTATTCATTAAGATCTATGCTTCACATATAGAACAGCTTCACATCCACTCAAATTAATTTTAGAAGACTAAGAAGTTGATGAAAAATGGTGATATGTGTGTCCACATGCAGGCTTGGAGCCGGTTAGATCTTTATTTCAGTAAAATCAAACCCATTATGTTCTCGTGTAATTGAGTCATTCTTTCAAAAGGCATTTATTGTGCACCACGTGGTCATGTGTGCTAGACAGCAGGGACAAAATGGCACGTGCAGCCCCTGCCTGCTGGAAGCTAAGGACGGACTGAGGACCCAGGCCCTCCACAAGGCCAGGCTCCGCAGGTCACAGATGATAAGGCTGCAAGCACAACTGAGGCAGGAAGGGGGTGGGGCTGGTGGTGTGGGAGGGGCTCCCTGCTCCCAGAGGGCGACCAGGATGAGGGTCCTGAGACCCTCACTCATCATTGGCATGTGAACAGAGACCTGGAGGGAGGGAGGGAGGCCCCATGTGGCTGTCAGGGGACAGGTTCCGAGGTGGAGGAAGTGCAAATGCCCAGACCAGGTGGAAGCATCCCACACACTGCAGGGGCACAAAGGGGGCCTGTGAGGCTGCAGCAGGCCCTGCTGTGGGGTCAGAGCAGTGAGGTGACCGGGGTCAGGTCGTGCAGGGCTCATGGATGGGTGCATGACTGGCTTGAACTCTGACGAGAGGGAAGCTGTTGGGGTCTGAGCTGCACAGGGTCCTGGCTGGGTCCCGGGATGCTGTGTGGACAGCAGACTGGAGGCCTGGGCAGGAGCAGAGTGTGGCTCGGAGCAGCCAGTCATCCTTCCAGGGGTGGGGGGCAGATAAGGGGTGAGATGAGGACAGCTTCTGACCTGGGAACAGGGGCTTTCTGTGGAGGGGGTGAGGAGGTGGGGAGGGGGAGAGGCAGGAAGGAGGCACGCAGGGTGAACTCCTGTCGGGGGGAGCTGCTGTCCTGGGAGGGCACCCACGGACAGCAGGTTTGGGGGACCCGCCTTGGTTTGGGCAGGTGGGACGTCCAGGGGGAGATGCCATGGAGGAGCCCTTGCAGGAGGGAGTCTGTCTCTCCGCCAAGGCTTGGAAAGTGAGAGTGACTGTGGGCTCAGGACGGTGCACAGGAGATTTACAGTCAGGAGCCTGGAGGTCAGCAGGGGATGCGCTGCTGAGTTAGGAAAGTGGTCCAAGAATGACATCCTGGGTTGGTACCAATGCTGACAGGTGGTGGGTATAGAGGGAAAGTGGGGTCCGTGTCAAAGGGTGTGACCCACACATCCATGAGGGTGTGAGCTACTTAGGGAACTGGCTTTAAAGACTCGCCGAGTCTGACCCTGAAGAACGCGGTACATTTCCCTGTATTTGATTCCGTATTGATGCAAGAACAGTAAGAGGGTAAGAAGAAGGACCACTAGACGGTAGTGGGGAGAAGCACACCTTACTTGACCTCCCCCCGCCCCCCACCAGCCACGAACTGACCATCCAGGCGGCCACAGCTGGTTGTGTCCCAGGCGGAATTCTGGGCATCCCCAGCTCTGCGGTGCTTGGTGGATCCAGGGCGGCGGGGCAGAGCCTGTGGTGGTCAGGACATGGGGGGCTGCCGGGCTCCAGGAGCTCGGAACGGGGCTGATCCCAGGGAAGCTGCGTGAGGTGGTCGTGTCTCTGCTGCCTGGGGCCCAAGTCCAGGCCTCCCTGTGCACGGCCCCCAGTGGGAGCCGCTGGGGCGCCCACCTGTCGTTGGCCGGTGGTGGTGATGCCAGGGTTCTTGTTCACGAAACCGAAGAATGAGCTTCACAAACACTTAAGGTAGGAGAGCAAGGTACAGGCTTTTATTTAGAGATAAAGTCAGAGAATAGAGCCCCTGGCTCACAAGAGGAGGGGACAAGAGAGCCCGTAGTGGTGCGTTGTCTAGGGGGTTTTATAGGCAGTTGAGGATTTTTCGAGAACATGAAAAAAACTTAGGGGAGTGGACTTGCATCACCTGCCCTGTCCTCAAGGTGGGTCGGGTCATAGTCTGATTGCCAGGGCTGACAGCGGGGTCATGGGTTATGCTGATACCCTTGCAGAACAGTCAAACATTTCAGGCCAAGTTGCTCTTGGCCTTTTGACATTTAACTGATCTCACTGAAGATGTCTATATTCTTAGGTATCTTTCCCTAGAGAATAGGTGTGACCTTGACTTTGCATAATGCTTAGCACAGACTTTCAATAGGGACTTCTCTGCCCATTGTCATTGCTCTGACTGTAAATATTCCGCCCTGCTTTTCCAGGAGGACCTCACCCTACTCTGACTACACCCACTGTCTCTGACTCAGTGACAAGGGAACTGGGATTGACCAGACACACAGGCCACCGGGAGGCAGCCTCCTGCGCCCAGCAGTCAGGAAGCAGTGGGGAGGACAACCAAGGATGAATGCAGCCGACAAGCTGATTAACACAGGGGTGAGGGTGCTGATCCCGTGCAGTCAAAAACCCAGGTAACTTCTGATCCCCCCAGAATCAACTGCCTGCTGACTGGAAGCCTTACCGAGAACGTGCACAGTGTGCACATGTCATGTATCATATGCTGTATTCTTACAATGAAGTGCACTAGAAAGAAGACGTTTTTTCAGATTGTCACAAATATCCAAAACATATTCCAAAATATTTATTGAAATAAATCCACATATAAGTGGACACATGTAGTTCAAACCCAGGTTCAAGGGGCAGCTGTACATGGCACACTGCATCTTATAGAGAAATCAGGAGTTCTTAAGAATAAAGCAAAAAACCAGTAGATGGGTGTAATGACTTGACACTGTTTATTCATTTCATCTATTTCTTCTGCTCTTCTTTGCCTCTTTCTCACTCTGGCCAATAAAGGGCATTGGTTATGAGTGTATAGTAATCCATGTTGTATCAAGGGGTATCAGCTTATATGAAATTCCAGCATACTAGTTTTTTCTTTAAGGTATTTGTTTTCCAAATAAATGGGGAGATAAATGGACTTTTAGAAGACTCAACATATCAAACTGCTTTCACAAAGAGATCTCTGTATCAATTGTAAAAAATGAGGGATAGATCTTTAAAAATACTGATACGCTGTAGAAACCATTCCTCTATTAACAACGCAGCTTCTGGCATAATTCCAGCTCTGGAGTTTTTAACACGCCTGTTGCTTAAACTTTGGAATTAGGTGAGACACCGCCTTGTCTTCAGTTGCATATTTATGCAATCTGCTTTCACCAGAGTGCAGCGAACCAGCATGTTCCTCTGTTTCTTGGGCATTCTTTCCAAAACATCTTCTTCAGACTACATGCATTACCAGATTCAAAGCAGATGGAAATGTTAGATGTCCGTATCATGTCATAAAATGCCTCAGATCTCATAAACCCCTCATCTAATCGTGTTATGTCAAAACACTGCCATAGGCAAAGGATGCCACAGAGTTGCTGGCTTACCTTTGCAGAACTCCCTCCCGAACACTAGCCTGGGACAGCTGGTCTTGCTCCCTGCAGTGCCCAGTAGCTGGCTTCCCAGTGTGCACTGTCATGCTGGAGTCTGGTGGAACTCTGTCCTGACCACTGGGGCTCCGTGGGTTTTATCCTACTTATGGTCACTCCCTCCCACTTTGATAACAAGAAGGTTCTTCTGAGCTTTGATTAAACTCCAAAGGTCATTTGGTCTGTAAATGACTGCCTCCATCCGGCCAAATCCTGCTAGTGCCCCGCCAGCAACAGCTCGTGTCAGCTGAGCAGATCACAGGGGATGCCTGCCCAGTGTCACACCAGCACAGCCAGGCACTGCAAGGCCCCTGGAGGCAGCACTGCACCAGGGTCGGCGTGAAGCAAAGGTTTCCAAAACGAAAGGCGTGGCAAACTCAGGCAGAGGCTCCAAGGAGGTCTGACGAGGCAGCTGGGTCAGCTTGTTGGCGTTTCTCCTCTCGCTGACCCGAGGAGGCGGTGGTGCAAGTGGAAGGTGCCAACCTAAATCAGCCCCTCCCTCCCCCATGTTTGCATGTCAGACAGCACTGGGTCCTGAGGGAAGTTGTGGGTGGTGACTTTACACCTCACAGAACAGTGGATTATAATTGGAAGCAAGCTTTCTAAAATAAGTGCTTTAAGAGGCGGATCAGGACCTAGCTGCTCAACCCCATGCTTTGGCCCTAACGGACAGTTCCCAGGCAGCATGCAGCTTTCCCAGGCAGACGTTTTAAGGGGACCCCGAGGCTGTTAGATGCCGCACAGGAGCTTGGTCCCAGCGCCAGGGTCTGGCCGCCTCTCCTGGCCCTGCCTGACCTGCAGACTTGGCCTCCTTCCCCATTTATTCCTGGCCCTTCCCTGCCACTCTGCACACAGGAGGGGCGCCACCGAATCTTAACAGAGAGGACAGGCTCTTTGTGTGGTGCCTTGCACACACCAGGAAGTCCTGCTGGAGGCGTGCGGCCCCCAACAGCGACCTGAGGAAGGGGTTATAAAACCAAAGGTAGCGGAGTGTTTAATCTGAAAGCGTGGGCGATAGCACCCCGTGGTGAAGACAGGATGTCTTCTGGGTCACTGACCCATGGCACTGACACCTTACCAGCTAGGTGGGAGACTCTGAGGCCCGGCGTGTCCTTCCGCACTTCACTGGTTCTAATGTTTCTACAGAAAGGGTCTTATTTAGGAAAGCTCTAGAACTTTGTATGCGAAGTAAGTGAACCATTCGGCTCTTTTCAAAGCGCTAAGCACAAACGTCTGTGCCTCCCGTGCTGCGCTTCAGGAGCGGCCAGAGGGAAACCTGAGGCTGGCGCTGCCGAGGACTCGGGATGTGCGCGGTGTCCCTGCGGCCATTCGCGGGCTCTCAGTCTCCACACACCCCGCGAGGGGCCCGCCGTCCCGGCAGGGCTTCCAGTGACGACCTTCGGGGCAACCACCGGGTCCCCAGGGGCGGCCTGCAGGGTGAGCATCAGGGCAGCCCAGCGGCAGTCCCCTCCAGTTTGGTCCCGGGCTCCCGGGTGACAGGCTCGCAGATGGTGCCGAGGGGCGGGCGCTCCTCGCCGAAGGCTAACTAGGGCAGATGAAGCCTTGAGAGGTACTTTTAAGTCAAGGGCTCTCCTGTTCAGAAACTCCTAAGCATTAAAATAAACAACACCCCAAATTAAGGTTGATTTTTATTTACAAAACAGATTTTGTTTTACACAAATTACAAAAAAGTGACTCAAAAATAGAAATAGCTTCCCCGACTCTCAGGCACCCACCCCATAGCTGCTTCACGGGCCGCCGCTCAGGCCAGCGTCTGCAGGAGCAGGACCTTCTCATTGGTGCAGAATCTGTGCAGCACTGTCGCCAGGCTCTCCCCACAGCGGGACACCTGGCGCTCCATGGCCAGGCGGAAGTCCTCCTTCACGCCCTTGGTGATGCCCCGTGTGACCGTGTGGTGCCTGAGGGCGGCGACAGGGAAACACACGGACACCGCGGTCAGCTCCGTCCGTGCTTCTGCGGTGGGAGTGAGGCCTGCCTCAAATCTACGTGTGAGTAGAAAATTCAAAAAAGAAAGAAAAGCCCTAAGCACACAACCCTCTACCCATTCCTTCTAAGAAACACACCTAAAGGGACATCTTCACTCAATAAAAGGCTGCTGAACTTAAACACCTCAGCATCAGGTAGAATGCCACCTGCTCTGCAGCCCTGCACGCAGCCCTATGCTGGCCGTGCATAGCTCAGTCTCCTGGACTCGCGCCCAGTGGGGCCACCGGCCACAGAGGCGGCAGCAGACTGCATGGGTCACAGCCTGGGCCTGGCCGTGGTCCCTGTGGCTGGTGCTGCGAGCCTCCCTCTGTGAGCGAGGTCGGAGCCCGAAGCTCCTCCAAGCCCCGAGTGAATCCAGACTCGTGTCTGTTTGAGCAGCAGCAGAAGTTGGGCGGCCCGAGACGAGAGTCTGGCACAGGTGGGGAGTGAGGCGCAGACTCGCTGGGGAGCAGTCAGTGGCCAGAGCCCTGTGGGCAGCCCGGCCCCGCACTCGGGCCCTGCGGCCTGTGGACGGGTCGGCGGGAGCACAGCCGAGGTGCCTGACCACACCCCAAAAGCCAGGCTTTACAGAAGGAGCTACAGCGGAACTCCCAGAAAACGTGAGACCCTGGAATGAAGGAAGGAAAAGTCTAGCAATGTTCAATGGGTTTGGTTAAGAGGAAGAGCTGTAAATGCTAGTTTGGTCATTTGGTAGATTCAGAAAAGAAGCCACTCCGTCCCCCACCCCCACTGCCTGGCTTCCCGCAGACACAGTAATGGGACTTAAAATTAGATTTGTATGTACTGGCCAAAATAAAACTGCTGAAACCACTCTGAACAGTTTCTGCTTTGAAAACTTACATTATCATAGAAAATAAGTACAACAGAAGCCATAAAGTTGGATTGCAAAATTTAAAAAAAAAGGCTTTGTTAAACTAGTAAAGGTATTGAAGGGCACTCCACAATGCCCACGGACAGCTTAAAGGACTACGCAGTAAAATGGCAACACCGTGGGGAAAAACACGCAGTTCCTCGTGGGCATTTCTAGGAAAGCCCGGCTGGTTAACTCTGCACAAGATCACAGTGCCAATGAGGCCAGGGCTGTGAATCCCACGGGGAACAGACGGAGACCTTTTGAACTGCCCTGAGATACTGCTCTTCTGAGTCCCAGACTGCAACCCTAAATGGGAGCTGACTCTCTGACCAGCCCAAAGTTAACCAGTATTGCGGACAGTACATTAAAGAGCAAATTCTCCCCTTAGTACTAGTAAAAATACAATAAACTGTAGACTGTCCATCCTGGTTTGATAGTATTGCTTCCATATATAAAGAGCAGTGTGAATCAATTATATTTCTATCAGAGTCTCTAGCCCTCTGGTAAGTTCAGGTGAAGAGAAGAATTACTTAGCTTTGGCCGTGAAGAACTGGCTAAGCCAGCTAAAAATGTGGCACTCTAGCCTATCACACACGCTCAGGTCAGAAAGGGAGGGCCCTGAAAAGGCACGAAGATACACTGTCCTAAGGCCTATTTAGAGCGAGACCACAGAACTGGTCTAATGTGAAAATCCAAGAACAAACTTGACTCCCCTTAATATGTATGACCTACTTGCCTTGTTTTATTAAAAGAATTGTACATAGTTTAGTGCCTAATCTAATATGCACTGCATCTAACACAGTTTTACAACTTTCATTTTTTTCCAGATCCATAATGATTTTTAAATTGAACACAAAAACACTGGCAAGTTATGGGAAAAAAAAAAAGAAATGTTACAATATTACAACCGGATGGTTTGCCAAGGAATGCAGAACAAAAAAATAAAGCGTGAAAAAGAGCACTGAGAACAGAGAGCTGGGAACCATGGGCGCAAACATGCTGACACACAGCACACTATGAGCAGGTGGTTTCCGTGTGGTACCTGTCAGCAGTCTGCACGCTGGGCTGAAGCACAGGCAAGAATTCCTGCCGCGGTAGCCCCATGGCAGGGCTAGAAGGCCTTTAAAAGACAGCAAATAGCGGCATTCAAACACCCACACCGACTCACCCTGCACTGCAAAAACAACACTCCGCACAAATGCCCAGGACTGGACACGACCAGACATCCGTGTCCTCCACGCCACAGGGATCTTGGTTCCCGTCCCCAAGCCTAGCCCCCTTGACTCTTGGGGGCAAAAGCAACTGGTGAGGAAGAATACGGATGCAGCTGAACGGCAGGGGGAGGGGAACCTGAGACATCCGCTGGCACCAGCCTCCTCCACTCCCCACTCCCGCACCCCACACCGACCCCAGAAAGGAACCTGGTGGCTCTCTGGGACCCTCTTGGATTGGACTGAAGTCTCAAGGTGGGAGAGACCCTTACAAGAGGCCTAATGGGGCTCGCATATTTTTGATTAAGAAAGGCTAAGACTGAATTTCATAAAGTATTGAGAGTGGAACAGACTGGGCCACGCCGGAGGCCCAGGGTTCCTCAGGGTTTTGTAACAACGAAGACAGTCCATTAGCTGGGGGCCTGCCTCCCAGACCTTACATCCACCCTTTTCAGAGCACACGCAGGACGCCACTGTCCATTTTCATCAGGCAACTAAGATACTGCACGTTCCTCTATTTTAAAGTACATAAGAACAAAATTCTAGGGAACAAATAAAGAGCTCCTTCCTCCTGTTAGTGGGGCAGGAGCCCGCGTGCTGGTACTGTACCTGCTCCCGTCTGAGATGCCGCAGCCATACGGCCTCACAGCAGCACCCCGGCCACTCAGCTGGAGGGGCCACCCACACAGGCTCAGTGGCTTCGGAGAATTTGTTTGGCACCCAAAGGAAAGGGAATGTAGATACTCAAGACTCTGCCCCACCCCCGCTGGCACAAGCTCACGGCTCACGGAGCTTTTGCCTCTCCTGCTGCAGTTGGGGCGCAAGGAATTTGAAACACAGGTTGAAATCAAGGCCAAGACTCACGTAAATTCCTACGAGCTCAGCTCAGTCACATCCCAGCTTCCAAACTGTTCTATCCAAACCTGATGGGACAGATTTCCCGGGAGGCCTGATGGTCTTCTCTGGGCAATGCTGACAGAGCGCGTTTCTGAGCTTCTCCCAAGGGCATGGAAGTGCCCGTTGCGCCAGTGTGACGGGCCCCAGCCCCTCGCCGCCCTTCCCCGGGAACTACCCGGGGCACAACTGCCAGCTTTCCCTTCCTGTGCGGGCTGCTCCGCCTGGCCCACGTCACTGCTCAGCTCAGAAGAAAGGCTCAGCACAATGAAGTTTGAAATTTGTTGATTTTTCTGACAATCCATTCTGTCGCATTTCCAATTATTACTGGGGTCAAGTAAGAACCATCCCTAGGGTCAATACTAAGTCAGTGGAGCTGCTCCTCCTGAGGCTGTCTCTGTATTGTGCTCATTTGTACGTTACTGAGAATTAACCAAAAAGCCATGTAAGGTGTGTCTGTGTGCTGGGCCTCAAAACCTAGTTAGGAAATCACAAGATGAGCAGGGTTACCTAGGCCCTTATATCAAAAGGAACTTTATTCTCAAATGCTGCTGGAAGGTATCGAACAGTGCAATTCCTTTTCCCCTAGATTTTTCCCCAGCCTTAGGAGAGTACCCGGAGATGGGAGTGAGCATGTACAGCCCATCTTGCCTAAGAGTAGTCTCATGTTTAAAAAAATACCTATTTGTTCTTTTAAATGTTTAAAATAGTTAATAACTTTAAGATGAAAAACAAGAACCCACTTAACCTTCCCATCCTTCCGAATGGATGCCACAAGATCCTATTCTCAAAAGGACAGAGTAATTAATATTTGCACCTGATTAAGTGTTGAGGTTACAGATGTCTAGAATGAGCATCTCTTACTTCCCTCTTGACTCTAAGGTTCTACAAAGATAGAACAAGATGAAGATTTTTGCTTTTGACAACTGAAAACTCATTCAATGCACAATTGGGGAAAAAAGGAACCCTTCTCCTCACTCAGGGGTCAGTCTCCTGCAGTGGGGCTGATGCTGGCTGGTGGACGTGCCGAGTACACAGGAGGCAAGGGAGGATGTGTGCAAATCAAACTACATGTGGCACTGACACAGAGGATATCATCCAAACTGCAATGAGTATTCAAGGATAGAAAGCAAGGTACATGAGCTATTTAAAAATCACAAATGGTCACCAGCTTCACGTAGGTGTGGGAGGGCACGCCTGAGACCGCACGCTCTGTCACTCCTTGGGGTGGCGGCATTGTGGAGGCTCGGTCCCGGCTCTGTGTGCCCTGTGAGCCGGAGGCTTGCTCAGGCTGGCTTTAAGTAAATACTGATGTCCAGGTCAGTTACAATAAAACCTGTCGTTTTTCCTAATGAATTTTCCTACTCAGTACAGCTTGAATTAAGCATGGCTTTTCTTAGTTAAAAGCACCCTCTATTTCAGAAATTTATAGGATCAGTCTATACTTTTTGGAAAGGAGATGATACAAGATTTCTGTCTAGTGTGTAAGTTTTAAAAGTGACAGAAACACACCCATTTAAACAATGTTTTAACAGAAATGTAGCTAAGGGAACACTGGGTCTTTCAAAAGGTACCCAGAATCTTATTTACTCTCAGAAACAGACACCAGGTTTGGACTCCTTCCTATTAAATTTCTGAAAGGCATTGATGTACAAATGTTCCCTAGAGGCACACAGGTGAGCACAGTATGGAAGATTGGAAAGTCTGCTTACTTGATCAGCATGCCTTGATTGGGCAGTAATTCCAGGTGAATCTTCCCACCTTCCTGAGTTCTTAAGTAGGCAAATTCCTCCAGCATATCGATGTCTGCAGGCCAGATTTAAGTTAACCACGTGTGGAAACAAGGGGCCCTGTTCTCCTGGGTGAGGAAAAAGCTTACAGGGAGGGACTGAGAAACTTGCCCGCAACCAGCCCCGTCACCTGGACCGGAACCCAGGTCTGTCTGCCTCCAAAACGAATGGTTCTTAAGACAACCAAACTCCGTCACAAAAGTAAACATGTTTTTCATGTAGACAAGAATTGAACAGTCTACAGGGGTCTAAGGGAAAGGTCTTGTTTTCTTGGTGGGAAATATTAGAAGTGATGGGGCTGCTGTATTCCTAAAACAAGGTAAGAAGTCTTGCTCTAGGCACCTGGAGTATCAGATTCCTTGCAACTCAGAAATAATGTATCAAAATAAGCAATGGAATATAAAGACCAAACCAATGTGTGACCTTCAAGTCAAGGAGGGCTTTCCCCAGTACACAGTGTGAAATACACACCCCCGTTGAGAGCGAATGTGGGCTGGGCAGCAAGGCGGAGTTCTCAGGGCAGCAGTCACAGGGGAGCCTGGGGCTCCAACTGCTGATCCTGGGGCAGCCGATGCCCCAGGGGGCGCTCTGCTGATAGCTGAAGGCCCACGAGCTACCACATTCTCGGCCGAACCAGCCACCCCTGGGCCTGCCAGAAACTTGTAGGCTATCGTTCTGGCTGCCTGGGATCCTTTCCAGAAGTCTAAGTAGAAATGGAACAGGATTGTTGATATTCCCGATTCCCTGCTTAACTCCTTGAAACTTATGACTTTCACAAGACCAACTGCCACAGTCCCACTTTGAATCATTTCTTCTCTTATCCCCCCAAATACTGAATGGTTTCTACTCGGATTGGCTCACTCATTTCTGTACCATGCATTCAAAGAAAAAAAACAGAATTTCTTATGCTCACAAGAAAAAGGATACTTGTAACATAATTGAAAAAATTTTCATACTGGAAATTTCCTTGTTGGCAAATCTTATTGACAGCTTTCAGAAAAAGGTTCTCTCCCCGCGGCCACTCTTGCTGAAGCAAAACAATCACGTGTCCCAGGGCCATGTCGTCCCTGCTGTCTGTGAAGGCTCTGAGCTGCAAGACAGGGGTTGTGCGGACATAGAAGGGAGGGGGATCACGGGCAGTCGGAGGAACCCCGAGTATCACGTGTAAGAAGTGCCGCTATGAGAAACTGGGACGGAGGTCATTAGAGTAAAAAGGGAACAAAGTAGAAAAGGCTCCGGCTCTGTGCACATCACAGCTCCTCCCACGGGCGTGGGCCCTAAGCTCGGGAGCCATGGCTCCCTGTGCCTGCAGACGGGCTGCGGCAGGTGTTACGTGAGCGCACGGGCACCTGGCGCCCTGAGCGGGCGAAGAGCAAGAGGAAACCGGGTGCTTCTATATAACGGAAGGGATTTCTTTTAAGGGGGCAGCTTGGGAGTAGAGGGTGCGCAAGAAGCCATCCAGAGAGAAGGGCTTCAGAACATGGGACAGAGAGAAAGAAAAGCAGTAACAAGGACGGTGGCACCAGCGTGCCCAGGAGAAACGGCCCCGGACCTTTGGTTCCAAATGAGCAGCTGTGCCTGAAATCACATACACGCCTACAATGGTTTCTGTCACCCCCACGATTCCAAAGGTTTGGGAATTACTGCCCTCGGGTGGAGACTCGATATTCTTGCTCATAAACCCTGCTGAGACACATAGGCCGGGCTCCTGCAAGGCGCTAGCCCATCTGTGACCAGCGCGTTCGTGTTCTTACACCGTCCTTAGACCTCCCAGCCCGGCGTGGCCTTCGCGGGCGTTCCTCTGGATGTCGAAGATGCCCGTGCCCGCCCCATCTTCACGATAGCAAACGCACCGCCCCTCTACGCCCGCAGCAGCATTTGTATTCCTTGCTGTAGCTGACACATGCTGATGTATATACACTGATCCATAGAACACTGACTGAGCAGTACCACAGGGAAGGTGATTTGCATATTTGTCCACTATTATTTATAAACTTCCCCATGTGGGGATCATTTCTTACTCATTTTTGCCTCGTGCAGTCAAAAAGTTAAAAAGGGTTTGCTCATTGTAGCTTATGTGCTTTCCCCACTACCCCAAGTCATTCCAGATCATCAGAACAATACTCCAAACTAAACGTCTTCCATGCTAACCAACCTTAAGCTTACCTTAAAACAAGCTAACATTAAATGCAGGCAGTACGGCATGATAGCCTTGCTGGTACAGGGCAGGAGCTTCAGATCCGAACCTAAGAAAAGTTTACATATGTTTGTTATTACCAAAGACAACAGCTTTGAAAAGCAAATGTTTAAGATGCATTCCATTAAAAAAAAAAAAAGATAAGCAATAGCCACATAATTTCAAATATAGTTAAACTACCACAATTATACAGGATTGTGAAATTGGTTTTGAATGTTCTCTGGATTTCATTTAACTGTTATCTTTCCTAAATTCACTTACTTTCTATAAAAACATTTCAAATATACAGAAAACTATAGAGAGAAAACTACAAACACCACTGTGCTTACCACTCAGCTTTCTAAAATGTCTATATTTTGCTTTAAGTTTTAGAGATTTTAATATAAAGTATCACCAATTTAGCTGCAGCCTCTAGGTGTCTTTCCTGATCCCATTTTCTTCTTCCTCCCCACAGGTAACCGCTATTCTCAATGCGGTGCTTTCACGTCTATGAATCACCACAGAGGAACGCTTGCATGTTTTCAGTCTGCTGTATAAACTGTGTCCTAGCACATGTATCCTTCCAGAAACTGTTGTCCGTACTAAGACCCGCAGCTCCAGCTCACTGATTCTCATGGACATACAGTGCTCTGTGCGTAGACACACCACGATTGATTTACCCCTTCTTTTATGGCAGATACTGAGGTTTCTAATTTGTCACTAGTACAAACAATGCTGAAATAAACATTCTTATTATGTATTTTCTTGTGCACTTGTGGAAAAAACTTTAGGCAATGGTTTTCAAACCCAGACCATAATCCTTTCTTTTACAGTGTGTCTTCTTTATACCCTTAATCCTTTTCTACTCTAAGGGCAAGAAGTAGCAAGAAATAAATACACTTTCTACATGGGCATCCTGTACACACATATGTACACGTTTACCTTAAACAAAAGATTGAAGACATAAAATCTACCCTATTGGAGATGCACTTATTTTAACATTATTATTATAGCCTATCCCACTGAGAGAGCTACAATGGAGTATCACTCAGCCATAACAAATAATGGATTCTTGCCATTTGTAACGTGGATGGACCTAGAGAGGATACTATGCTAAGTAAAATAAGTCAGAAAAAGACAAATATCACGATTTCACTTACATGTGAAATCTAAAAAACACAAATGAACAAACAAAACAGAAACAGACTCACAAATACAGAGAACAAACTGTTGGCTGCCGTAGGGGAGAAGGACACAGGGGAATGGGTGAAACAGGTGAGGGGGATAAAGAGATACAAACTTCCTGCTACAAAATAAATTTGTCATGGGGATGAAGGGACAGTAAAGGGAATATACTCAATACTATTGTAATAACTGTATGGTGACAGATGGTAACCACACACCATGGTGAGCATTTGGTGATATACAGAATTGTTGAATGACTCTGTTGTACACCCAAAACTAATATAATACTGAATGTCAACTATACTTCAATTAAATAAAAGAAAATAATAATGAGCTAGGCTTTACTATGATTCCATAACATGCAAGGACTCATGTTTGGAGAGGTTAGAGGGTTTGCATGAGGTCACCTAATAGCCAGATAGTTTTCTTAATAACAGGGAAGGGAAGAGAGGAAAGGGCAGAGTAATTTTCCCTCCTTATATCTTTCTGCATAATCTGAATTTTATACAACTAAGTACATGCATTATTTGGTGGTCTGTTTCCTTCTAAAAAATAATAAAAATTATTTTTCATGGCTTGAAAAAAAAGGGCAGTTATTTTCAGCCTTTATTTCTTTTTGTTGCCTATCATATTGGCCTGAATTTTCAGTACGCTGAACTGAAGCAGTGTGAGCAGAATCCTCATATGCTGCCGCTCTTGGGGAAAGCAGTCAGTATCACAGCTCAGTATGATGCTGAGGAATAGAACATTCTATTTCTAATGTGCCAAACTTCTTTATATCATGAGTGAGAAATGTAGACATACTGAATTCTGTCTGCATCTATTAGAACAATCACATGATTTTTTTCACCTTTAATGCTAAAGGGAATTACCGTGATTGGTTTTCCTATGTTAAGCTACCTTGGCATTCCTGCTGTACTCGATCGTACGCACTAACCTTATATATCGCTGTATTTGATTTGCTGATATTTTGTTAAGGATTTTGGCATCTATGCTCATGATGGACACTGGCCTTTATTTTGTAATGCTCTTGCTTGGTTTTGCTATTAGAGCTTGTTGGCCTTAAATGTGGAAGGGAAAGTGTCTCCCCTGTTTCTATCTTCTCAAAGAGTGTATGTGTGTGTAGGATTGGTGGTGTTTCTTCCTAAATCCTTGATAGAATTACCAGCCAAGACACACGGATCTGGAGGTTTCTTTGTGGGAAGGCTTTTGATAAAAAGCTTATTCCTTGGACAGATATATAACATCCAGACTGTCTATTTTATTGTGTATCAGTTTTGGTAAGTTGAATTTTTCAATGAATTTTTCCTTTTCATCCAAACTGTTGAATGTACTGGCATAAGGTCATTCCTCACGTGCTCTCTCTATGCCCTTTGGCATCCGCAGGATTTGTAGTGATACTCCCTCTTTTACTCCTGATATTGGTAATTTGCATTCACTTTCTTCCTGATCAATCTTGTTAGGGGCTTATCAACTTTATTTTTTCAAAAACCAACTTTTGGCTTTACTAATTTTCTCTATTTTGTTTTCCATTTCATTGATTTCTGCTCGTATCATTTCCGGTCTTCTACTTTCTTTGGGTTTAAAACTTGCTTATTTTTTTTAGTTTGGATTTTCTAAAGTTGGAAACTTAGATCAATGATACTGAGTCTTTCTTCCTTTCTTATATAAGTATTAGAACAAAATTTTCAGTTTCAGTGTTTTAAGCCATGTGTAACCTGAGGTGAAGCTCAAAATAACTCAACAGATATGCTAAGAGATACTTTCTAACTAATCATCTACAAGTTTTCCCAGAATTGGCAAAGAGAAAAAGGAGTTTACAGATAACTTCCAAAGAGATCACAAACTCAGGAAGTGAAGAGAACTCGGGAAGAAAGGCAAATTGCAGCTGCTCATGAAATCAGGGCAAGGAAAAGCTTAGTGGGGGATTAACTTTTTATGCAATTTGTCAAACTCTGCAGATCACACAGAATTCTCTCACCATGAATTGTGAACATTTCCAGGCCTTGGGTCCTAAAGCCATTTTTACAAAATAAAAATAAAATTCATCACCGTACCTTTCCTAAATTTGGGCTTTATTTTTGAAGGTTCTTCCTGGGATTTGCCTCCATCTTGGATGGGGAGAACCATGTAGCACATCAAATCAAGGACTTTTTCACATGTCACCTAAGGAAGATAAAACCAAAATTAACCCATCTGAAGTCCTCTGACTGCAGCCAGTCAGCATTAAATACCTGCAGTGTGTGCCGGGCAGCGTGCTTACAGGGCTCCAGGGCACTGCCCCAGGGTCTCCATGTGCCCGTCACCGTCTGCCAACAGCAGATGCAGAAAAAGGAACTAAGATTAAATCTATGTACTAGACCTTTAAGGGACAATAATCCATTCTTTGCTGTTCAAAAACAACTTAAAAATGAATCAACTATTAACTAAACTACCAAGCTGTTTAACAGCGCAGTGGCACCCACAAGAAGTATATCACAAGAAGTATATTCCTGACTTAGAGGGATTTACTAACTCCTGAACAGAAAAATCAAGGGGCAGATAGCAGAGGACTGATGGTATAATATGGAGCGTAATTTAAAGTGAAGTGAAAATATGCACAGGCTAAGCCAGCAGGAAAAGTTTCAGACAGGAAGGCCATCCTAGCCTTCAAGGGGGGCAGGGTCCGGAATGTGAAGGGAAAAAAGGGTTTTCAAAGGAGGAGAAAGATGTGGGCAAGGGCTGTGCACTGGTTTAGGTGGTCACCTTGAGGGAAGGGGAGTGGGGAGTGTGGTGTGAGAAACAGACACAAACTGGACAGAGGTGGTGCAGCGGCTGAGTGACCCTCGGTGCCACACTGTGCGGACTGGTCTCCATACACAGGAAGAAGGCCACCCCGCGGCCCACCGATTCCAATCCCACTGAGAACAATTACATCCATTTAGGGAGCACTTTCTACATGTCAGGCACCATCCTCTTATGTGCCCAATTTCCAGATGGGGAAGTTGGGTCCTATACCCGAACTTTCCAAGTCTTGGCATGTCCAGAATAACTCTAAGGCTGCTCAGAGTTGGCAGCAACGAACCTGGGACTCTAGTGGCCCTAAGCCACGGCTAACGGCCCTGTGGACATGCCTAGAACCCACCTGCGGCACAGGGCTGTGAAGCTCTGGCGTCAAGGGGTTGGCATCCTGGTAGCGAAGAGCTTGCCCTCCGCAGCTAGTCAGGCTCGGTGAGGTAACCTGCCCCAGATCACAGACCCAGTCGCGGAGGTAGCGCCTGGGCTCCAGAGCATGAGCCACCAGCTCAATGCCTGCCTCCAGCAATCCCTTCCGTGAGCCTTCCTCGACTACATGGACCCTGGTGAAAACACCCTCCCCTGAAGGCCTACTGTGTGCCTGGCCGAGGCATACCACTGAACAGCTGACTTTAAATCGTCTTATATAAACACCCATACTTTTCTCTTTGACTCATTCACATGCCCTTGCATGCAGGGGTCCCAAAGCCCCACATCTGGCTTGTACTCCCAAGCCCAGCACACGGTTCAACTCTGGGCACCTAGAAAATCAATACTTCAATAGGGGAATGACAGCAGCAGCGTTTTTAGAAAGCAATGACTATAATGTACAGGGATGGAAAAAAGGTTACAGGTAAGAAACCCACTTAAAAGCCTTGATTTGGGTGGTGGCAGTGGAAATAAAAGGCACCACGCTGAGACACTCGCATCTCCTGGAGGAGCTGAAGACTGGCTGGAGTAAGGAAGAGCCAGCCGCGACTGGACGGTTTCCGTCTAAGCACCAGAGAACTGAGGGAGCACCCACCTGGGGCTGCTGGGCCTTTGCTGAGGACAGGGAGGAAGAGACTCGGGAATCGGGTAAATTAGAAAGCAAAGGGTAGGCCCCACAGTGAGCAGCTTGGAGGAGGAAACGAAAGCCCTCAAAGACAGCAAGCTTGCCTAATTTAATGGAATCTACTGGTTTATTTTACATTCCCAACTATGGTGCTCAACAGCAGAACACTATGGCTGTCTGCTTCTGCATGGCTACGTACATCTGTGTGGGGGAACACGTGCTTTCTTTCTGAGTTTTCTGACGGATTTGAAACTCTGAAGTAGGTACCTAATAATGACATAAATGATGTGGTGATGTGGGAAGTATTTTCAGTTTTAAATGCACATATTTTACATAACCTGATTGTTTCTTTCTAAAAATTATCATGGCACATTATTGACCATATTTCAAAGTTGAAGTTAAAAAAGTTAATTTAGGGTTTCTAGCCCCAAAATAACATATAGAGAGATGAAATCAGTTTGTGTGATTAGCTGTGGCCTAGAATTTATAAAAAATGTGCTCACTATTTTAACTGAATTCACACATTTACTGGGTAGGGAGGCTCTGCACACCATTGTGGTAGGTGCTCAGGGAGACTCAGGGCAAAGGATGTGGTCCCCACCCTGTGCTGGGCGGCCCACCATCACGGCGGAGACGCCCGTTTATACACCTGCTTCTGCAACACCTCTGCCAGTGTCATGACCGTGTGGAAAAGAATCTGAGGGTGGGACAAGCCCATGCAAACCTCCCACTTCTCACTTCAAAACAGCCTCTTCTGTCCAAGGGAGACAGCCCAGGACCCACAGCACAGGGAGCCAGGCCAGGAGCGTGCCCCAATGAAACGGGATCATGAACAAGAACTGTGAAGAGTATGGAAGCCTGACTCCAGGGAAGCTACAGTGAAGAGAAAATGAAGTACAACAAAATCATCAAGCTTTTTGCCAGATCAGGTAATGAAGTCTAGGCAGAGAGATCAAATTTCAAGTAAATGTGCATGAATTCCGCAGGCACTGTCGGAGAGGTGCCCAGGCCCCGGCGTCCCCTGCACGGCAGGCAGTACTCACCCTGTACTCCCCCAGGGCAAAGTGGCACGTTGCCAGCTGGATGAGTGCCCTCTGGTGCTCCAAGGTCCCCTGCCCTGTGATCTGCGGTTGCGGCAGTGATCCCTGGAGAGCTGCTAGATGGTGCAGGCTGGCTACTGCCTTTTTATACTGACCCTGAGAAGGCCACAGAACAGGGCGGGGAAAACACTGTCATTAAAAGTATCTCCAGAGCTGATTAAGCAACTGGCAATGGCTACAAGTGAGGTACCATCTGAGGGGGAAAAGGGAGACTTAGCAACAAAATAAACCAGTGTACAGCTGACTCTTGAACAACGTGGGTGCTTGGGGTGCTGACCCCTGAGCACTTGAAAATCCACACATAACATCTGACTCCCCAAAACTTAACTACAAATACCCTACTGCTGACAGGAAGCCTGAGTGACAACACAGTCAGCCAGTTAACACAGACTTCCTACGGTTCACGTCTTATATACTGCATTCTTACACTAAAGCTAAGGAAAAGGAAATGTTTTTTCAAATTGATGCAAATGTTCCCCAGATTTGCAAGTATACTTTCGAAAAAAACCCGTGTGTAAGTGGACCCCCGCAGTTCAGACCCATGTCATTCAAAGGTCACTGTGTTTGGTGGTGACAGTGGGCCACACTGCCTCTGCCACAGACGACAGAACCTGTCTTCAGAGCGTGTGCTGGTCCAAGGGGCGGACAACCTGCGTGCCCACAGCCATCCTGCAGACACACAGCTGCTCTACCTGATAGATGATCACATCAGTGAGGAAGATTCTTAGCCAAAGCCAGGTGTCCGTCTTCCATGCCAAACAAATTCTTGTAAATTCTGAGAATTCAAAAGCAAATTTATCAAAAATATGTTAACACAGAAGCAGAAACAAAACTAACAAACACAGCAAGAGAGAACAGAATCTGGCTTGTACTCCCAAGCCCAGCACACGGTTCAACTCTGGGCACCTAGAAAATCAATACTTCAATAGGGGAATGACAGCAGCAGCGTTTTTAGAAAGCAATGACTATAATGTACAGGGATGGAAAAAAGGTTACAGGTAAGAAACCCACTTAAAAGCCTTGATTTGGGTGGTGGCAGTGGAAATAAAAGGCACCACGCTGAGACACTCGCATCTCCTGGAGGAGCTGAAGACTGGCTGGAGTAAGGAAGAGCCAGCCGCGACTGGACGGTTTCCGTCTAAGCACCAGAGAACTGAGGGAGCACCCACCTGGGGCTGCTGGGCCTTTGCTGAGGACAGGGAGGAAGAGACTCGGGAATCGGGTAAATTAGAAAGCAAAGGGTAGGCCCCACAGTGAGCAGCTTGGAGGAGGAAACGAAAGCCCTCAAAGACAGCAAGCTTGCCTAATTTAATGGAATCTACTGGTTTATTTTACATTCCCAACTATGGTGCTCAACAGCAGAACACTATGGCTGTCTGCTTCTGCATGGCTACGTACATCTGTGTGGGGGAACACGTGCTTTCTTTCTGAGTTTTCTGACGGATTTGAAACTCTGAAGTAGGTACCTAATAATGACATAAATGATGTGGTGATGTGGGAAGTATTTTCAGTTTTAAATGCACATATTTTACATAACCTGATTGTTTCTTTCTAAAAATTATCATGGCACATTATTGACCATATTTCAAAGTTGAAGTTAAAAAAGTTAATTTAGGGTTTCTAGCCCCAAAATAACATATAGAGAGATGAAATCAGTTTGTGTGATTAGCTGTGGCCTAGAATTTATAAAAAATGTGCTCACTATTTTAACTGAATTCACACATTTACTGGGTAGGGAGGCTCTGCACACCATTGTGGTAGGTGCTCAGGGAGACTCAGGGCAAAGGATGTGGTCCCCACCCTGTGCTGGGCGGCCCACCATCACGGCGGAGACGCCCGTTTATACACCTGCTTCTGCAACACCTCTGCCAGTGTCATGACCGTGTGGAAAAGAATCTGAGGGTGGGACAAGCCCATGCAAACCTCCCACTTCTCACTTCAAAACAGCCTCTTCTGTCCAAGGGAGACAGCCCAGGACCCACAGCACAGGGAGCCAGGCCAGGAGCGTGCCCCAATGAAACGGGATCATGAACAAGAACTGTGAAGAGTATGGAAGCCTGACTCCAGGGAAGCTACAGTGAAGAGAAAATGAAGTACAACAAAATCATCAAGCTTTTTGCCAGATCAGGTAATGAAGTCTAGGCAGAGAGATCAAATTTCAAGTAAATGTGCATGAATTCCGCAGGCACTGTCGGAGAGGTGCCCAGGCCCCGGCGTCCCCTGCACGGCAGGCAGTACTCACCCTGTACTCCCCCAGGGCAAAGTGGCACGTTGCCAGCTGGATGAGTGCCCTCTGGTGCTCCAAGGTCCCCTGCCCTGTGATCTGCGGTTGCGGCAGTGATCCCTGGAGAGCTGCTAGATGGTGCAGGCTGGCTACTGCCTTTTTATACTGACCCTGAGAAGGCCACAGAACAGGGCGGGGAAAACACTGTCATTAAAAGTATCTCCAGAGCTGATTAAGCAACTGGCAATGGCTACAAGTGAGGTACCATCTGAGGGGGAAAAGGGAGACTTAGCAACAAAATAAACCAGTGTACAGCTGACTCTTGAACAACGTGGGTGCTTGGGGTGCTGACCCCTGAGCACTTGAAAATCCACACATAACATCTGACTCCCCAAAACTTAACTACAAATACCCTACTGCTGACAGGAAGCCTGAGTGACAACACAGTCAGCCAGTTAACACAGACTTCCTACGGTTCACGTCTTATATACTGCATTCTTACACTAAAGCTAAGGAAAAGGAAATGTTTTTTCAAATTGATGCAAATGTTCCCCAGATTTGCAAGTATACTTTCGAAAAAAACCCGTGTGTAAGTGGACCCCCGCAGTTCAGACCCATGTCATTCAAAGGTCACTGTGTTTGGTGGTGACAGTGGGCCACACTGCCTCTGCCACAGACGACAGAACCTGTCTTCAGAGCGTGTGCTGGTCCAAGGGGCGGACAACCTGCGTGCCCACAGCCATCCTGCAGACACACAGCTGCTCTACCTGATAGATGATCACATCAGTGAGGAAGATTCTTAGCCAAAGCCAGGTGTCCGTCTTCCATGCCAAACAAATTCTTGTAAATTCTGAGAATTCAAAAGCAAATTTATCAAAAATATGTTAACACAGAAGCAGAAACAAAACTAACAAACACAGCAAGAGAGAACAGAAGAAAGACAAAATCAAAAATGGCAAGGAAGCTTAATACATGCTGATTTCTAAAACGATGGTCTAGAATTTCAACTGGACAGCAAAGTTAGAAATATAATACCATAACACACAAGCAGCATTTTTATTAGGCACCAACCTTCACTCGGCGGAAACCATGGACCATGAGCTCTCCAAAATGCTTTTCGCATATTCACCTCATCTACAATTTGTATTTCTTTGCTTTCCTCCAGAATAGGTTTACTTTCACCCAGTTGAAGTAATAAATATACAGCACTAAGAGGTCTACTCATTTTTAAAAAAGTCACTTTGTAACTGAAGGGAAATCATCACATATGTGTTCCCAATTCTAGACGTGACAGGGAAAACCCAGTGGTGCTGTATTTATCCAGGAGACACAAGACCCACCTGACTGAGGGCTCTGTGATGGCGCCTGACAGCGGGCCAGGGGGTGGGGACCCGCTGGCTCAAAGGACTAATGGGCCTTGATTCTAAAAGATGCTAAAAATACACTGGTGAGCCAAATGCTGGTGATTTCTAAATGATGTTGAAATACTTAATAGTTTGAGTTTATACAAATAAAACTCCCTCTAGTTTTATGTCTACACACAAAAGAAAATGGATTTTCGGTAGCATTTGAGGTTTCTAGGCAATGGAATTCATACAGATAAAAACAGCATTATTGCCTTTTGTATTCTTAGTGATGTGGCTTCTAGAAGATAAGGGCAGGAGGACCAAACAACTAAAAGCATAAAACAAGCCAAACCAGCAAAACACAGGGGAAAACAGCCAACAACACAAATTTTGAAGACAGACCAAAAACTCCCCCTCAAACTCCTTCCCAACTCTGATCATCATACAGCCTTGGAGTAGAAGCCAAGAAGTGAACCATCAGTTGAGAACGAATAACTGATTAGATATCCTGCTCAAAACGGAATCCTGTAAAACGTGTGACTACTGCAATCAACTTAACACCAGTGATGTGACAGTTCAAGTAGAATAACAATTTTATAGCATAATGGTTTTATATAACAAATTAAACAGCACTGATGACAAGTGTATTCTTACCCTTGTCAAGGAATTCTTGGGAGCAGAGCAGCTCCCAGCTCTCCCGGGCCCACTTAAAGCTCTCCAGCACTTCGATGGAGTTCGCAAGGTCGGCTTTGTTGACTGCCACATGCCTGTTTCTTCCTTTGGCTGAACAGTCTTCATCATCTGAACTCTGCTTGGAGAATGCAGACAATATGATTCATTTAAAATTATAAATGTAATCGTATACTGGAACTATGTTTATTGCTGCCAATTCTGGTTATCTTAAGGATTTCACATCAAGGGATACTATCATGAGTATGATAAAAATTTTCTCAATTTAACAATTTCATTTAAAAAATTAATATAAATTTTTCATCTTCCACTTTTATACACCTAAGTTTTACTTAAAAAATTAAGCTTATGTTTTTTTGATGACAAATTGTAAGCTTATGTTGGCTTGAGTAAAGCTATGGAATTAAAATTTCCAATAATTTAAAAACATATCAATGTTATAAGAACCAAAAATTAGATCTTCACATTCGGCACCTGCTCTACAGTGACTTTATCTGCTTCCAAGTAAGTTTGTCATGTAACAGAATAAAATGAAGGCCTCAGTCCCCTAAGAAATAATTCAGAGAAATTATTTGCCTTTTGCTCACTGCACATGCTTCTCCAGTTACCACTACTTGTCTCTGCACCCCCCACTCAAGGTGCCTGGCCGGGAATGACATTTAACTGTACGGATCTATTAATGCCCTCTGCATTTTACAACAGATTCCTACTCTCTGGCTCTTCATCTCAGGTAATAAAAAGCCAAAGAAAAGAGAGGGCCTCAGAGAAAGGCGGCTTTATAAATGCCACTGGGTCTGCTCAGGGAGAAGAGTTCCTCTGAATTTTGCTTAGAACTTCTTGAACCTCCTACTCTATCTACACTTAGGCCATTGTACTAATTTAATGATCTGACTTACATTCTCTCTGTAGATTTTTACTCCACTGAGATCACTTAAAAATATACACAAATATTTTAGCCAAAAATTCCATTCCTCAAGCAAATCTCAGGAAAACAGTACCTCCCTCCTGCTACCCACCCTTCTGCCTGCTGTCAGAACTTAGTGCCCATCGGCTACTCCTTGGTGCCTGGAACCTCCCCGCACACCCTAGTCAGCCTCCTATCCTTGTGCTCCCTCAGTAAGGGCACACACCCAGGCCCCTCTCACCATCCAAACCCATCTGGCAGCTATCCTATTTCCTTGCCGCATGTTGCCAATCTAGTAAGATATACTAATATGAATGGTGTGTTCATTGCTGCTGCAGCTTACGAAAAACATTTCTGCCTCAAAACGAGATCAGGAGTTTAAGGAAGAGACCTCAGATGTGTGGGAACAGTGTAGAGTTCCAAGTAAGTTTCTAGAATTAAAAGAAACTGATTTTGAGAAGAAAAGTACACTCAAGGTCTGGGGGGTGCTCTGGAGCGAGCCTCCTGACAGCAGGGGTGTCCATGAGTCTGTGTGGTGGAGGAGGTCCCAGCCTTGGGGGAGGGCCCAGCCCCGGAGCCAGGAGTGGGCTGGGGGAGGATGCACACCCACCTGAAGGGGGCGCCTACATGCGTCCAGCTGTCCGCTAGCATCAGGGGCCAGCGTTAACAGATACTCCAGTTCCTCAAGGGAAGTAAGACATCTGGACTGTTGGGGAAAATCTCCCAATTTTTAGGTGCTAGGTTATTAAATAAACAAAACAAAACACTAAGTAAAGTAAGGTGTGTCCATGAGCTGATCTCATGGGCCATCAGTGTGTCCTCTCTGGTGATTAGACACACATCTGGCTGGACCTGCACCATGTGGTGCAGACTATGGACAGTAGGGAGACCAGGGTGGAATCAGGTAAGAGAGTGAAAAGACAAATTGATGGAACCCCTAGACTGGCTGGAGGGCTAGAGCATGTGAGCAGGGCCAGCTAGGTAACGTGACCGGGGAAAACCCAACAGAGACACAGACAGGGTGGAGGGTTTACATGGCTCCCAAACCCAGGAGGGCAGGGACGGAATTCACTCAGTCACCAGACGCTCAGCCAAGGCCTGCGGGGGCTCGGGCTCAGAACCTGCTGGGGTTCAGGCACTGTCCTGCGGGCCAGGACACAGTGTGAATCAGACAGACAACGGCCTTGGCCATTGGAGCTTATACTCCAGGGAGGGGACACAGATAAGCTCCCCAACAAAAAGAAAAAGCAGACAGCAGTACAGGCATGCAGAATTAGAGTGATAAAAAGAAAACTCGATGGGCATTTAGAGGAGGCCACAGAGGAAGAAATGTATGGGCTGAGAGCTAAGTGAGAAGGGCCCGGCCTGGCAGGGAGAAGCACTCAGCCCTGGAGCAGAGCTGGGACCGGGGTGGAGGCCTGGGGGCAGAGGGCTGGAGGGCCAGGGGGACTCCCATGTCTGCAGTGTGGGACCTGCTCAGCAAGAGCTCTGAAGAGGCTAGATTTTTTTCTAAGCATGATGGGAACCTGTTAAGAGGTGTTAAAGCAGGGCAGTGATCTGATCCTTGTTTTACCAAGACCACTAAGGCTGCTGGGCAGGAAGTGGTGGCAGTGGAGAGAAATGGCTGGAGGGGGCTGTGTGACATACATTGAATTATATGAGCTACTCAACTTGCTATATAACTGGGAGGAAGAGTCTGGGGTCTCACCGTAAAGTGCCTGGGTAACCACACAGCCTTGGGAACCACGAGGGAGAGCTGCAGGGGTGGCTCCACCGGGGAATGCTAGGAGGGAAGGACGGAGGAGCCCACTAGTGATGGTTTTGCCACACATGCCTCCACACATGACTCAGAGGGCATTAGGGAGAGCCTGGTTAGCAGGGTTCTCAACCTGGGGCACACGGCTGGATAGCAAAGCATCTGCCAAGCTCTGAAATTACTTGCAAAATGGTGCATGCGTGCATTTTTGTCTGAGAAACAAACTAGCTTATCAAAAGGGGTACTAACCTTGCAAGCATTCAGAAAAGCCACATCTTCCTTGCTCTGATTCTGATTAACTGATTGTAAGGCACACCGTCATGCCAGGGTCTAGTAAAATGTTACTCAAGTACTGAAGAGGAGGTAAGGGTTAAAGGAGGGGAGTAGAAGAGATAAAAAGTGGGGAGACTCCAGGCTCCCCTTGGACATTTCAGCTACAGCAGAGCTTAGCAAACCAAGTCCTGGGGGCCAATCCTGTTCTTGTGAACACAGCTTTACCAGAACGTGGCCACCTCAGGTGTGTACTGCCAGCTTCAGCTACTCAGGCACAGTGACAGCACAGCCGGGGAGCTGCCACCAAGACCAGATAGTCTGTAATGTCCAAACTATTTATTCCTCAGCCCTTCACAGGAGAGGCCTGCTGACTCCTGACTTAGAGCGTTTCCACTACTATGTTCCATGCTGGGCCTCCACTAAGGCTTTTTACTCAAGGACAGGGCCCCTCTGCTTTGGAACAAGTTCAGAACTCACTGTTCTTTCACAGCTGTGCTGCCTGGCCAGACGGGAAGACTGACAGCCCTTCCCTCTCTCTGGCCTCTTTGTGTAAACTGAGCTCTCTTGACAAAAGCCTAGACATCCGTCAGGGCTGACTGCAAATTCTGGTCTCCTCCTGAAACCTTTCCAACGTCTCAGCCGGGCTGTACTTACTTCCCACCCTGAATGCCAAGACACCTGCCATTCCACGGCCAGCACTCGCCACAGCACCCTGCTCTAGGTGGGCGGTGCAGCTCACTAGGGTTTGTTTAAATTGACTCAATCCCATTCAGTCACAAAGGTAGAGAAAACTCACACCAGGCTTTCTCAACACCAGCCCAACTGCCCTTTTGGGCTGGGAGTTCCCTGTGGTGGGGCTGTCCTGCGCACTGTCACTTGTTTGGCAGTGTCCCTGGCCTCCACCTGCTAGAGACATCAGAGCATAACCCTTGCATGCTAAGCCAAGAGAGCCACAAACGGCCTCAGACATCGCCAAAGGTTCCTGGGGGTGAAATCATTTCCAGCTGAGAACCACTGACTTACCTAGTAAATTGTTTCTTATAATTAAGAGATCTAAGCTTTATCAGTGTAGCTCCAGAGCTATCTTTTACAAAGATTCATTTCACCAACCATAAACACATCATCTATTTAATAAATGTATCTGGAAGGATTACCATGGTTTTTTCTCTTCCCTCAGCTAGCTTCCTCTTTTTATGTACGTGTTTACTACGATCGATTTCTGCATCACCGTACACATTTGACACATCCTCAAGAAGAATGAGTGGAACATGGCTTGGGGCATTCGCACCTATGGATGGGGAAACACCAAGATGTCAAAGTGCAGCAAGGAAAGGCGTACGTAACAGTAGGTGGACTTCTGCTCAACTGTGGTGTGAGAAATGTTTCTTGTGATCCTGATTAGGCCAACAAATAAGTATACATGTATAGGAAAATGACTACAGGTAAACACCAAACTGTTCACAGAGGCCTTTGTGACGGGTTAACAGTGCAGGTTCCTTCTCTACAATTGTTCTCACAAGCCTACAAATGCTTTACAATAATGACGAATCAAAATTACTGAAATGTTAAGACCACAAAGTTAAATATGCACTATGATTATAGATTTCAAAAAATCTAAATGTACAAAACTCTAGAAGGCAATACACAAAAATGAGAGCTGTTATACTGGAGGAATTGTGGGTCATTTCACCCTCTTGTTTTTCTATATTTCAGTTTGTAAAATGCACATGTATCATTTAAGAAATCTTTTGTCAACTGCTAAGTTTTTGTGAAATCTACTTCAATACTTTGCTATGCCTGCTTTTTCAAAACCAAGGCATTCACTCTCTATATTTTGTTTCACAAAACCACTACACCCTTTAATATAGAAATTTCAAATGAAAATATATAAAAACCAACAACTAAAAAAAGCACTGGCATCACTCTATAGTTACTTGGATCCGAGAACAATGCTAATGTGAATATTTTCATCTTCCTCACCATCCCAGCTCAGTATTCTGGAATACTCCAAAATTCTTAAACCAACCTTGGAATAGAGATGGCTGTATGCTGTTGACATACTGGAATGCATTCTTAAAGAAGACCAACATAGTGGAATAAACCACTTGGTTTTTATATTTTGCATGAGCTTCATTATCGAAGTTATTCATGTATCTGCAGAGATCCTTCATTCTATGCAAAATATCACCATAGTTTCTGAAAGATGAAGGATGAGGGAAATTATTTAATTACTCTGCACTTATCAGCAACAGGTCTAGAGAAAAGCCCCAACAGAACCATTACATTTACCAAATGTAGCTCAAGGCATGTAAATTTTTTTACTGTTTGCATACAAATTCCCCTACTGAATTAGAACAGTGATCAGACCAAGATCTCATGATCTGAACATGCCACTGCATGAAGTTACCAATTAGCTTCTCTTTCCTCCAAACAACAAGGAGTGCTTCAGATTCAACATCATCTTAAGAGTTTATACTTCCGTTGGGAATATTTTAATAACACAAAAACCATCCTCTTTTGGATAAATACTGAATGTTACAGGATTTGCTCAAAGAAGAGTGTACCTACACATTATATGCTTTAGAAAAAAAGTGTTTTTGTATTTAAGGCTCCTGAGATTATGCTATTGAAAGGTTAAGTAATTCTAGAAGTTAACAATTTTTTACCGTCTTCCTTTATCCATCTGCCATTCACATCTCATGCCAACAACATTCAAAATCTTAAACAACCTCTCCCAAGGGTCCACAATCTGGGATGATTTCTCAGTCAGCCCTTCTATTACATACTTCTGAGAGCTACGTTTGCTAGGTGATATTAAATCAGATGTTTCTTGGGCACCTGAGATGTGAAAAAAAGGAGCCTCTAGTTAACATTACTACATACCATTTATGTGTTACTTGATAAACGGAAGTGTGAATCCCCATTCAAAAGACAGGAGCACAGCCTCCCAGCATCCTCTGTGCTTGTCCCAGCACCCACAGCTGGCTGCCGGCACAGTGGGAAGTGACTTTCGAGCTGAGGTACATGAATGAAGCTCAAGGCCCTAACGTTACAGTTCAGCAAGGTGACTGTTTCTACCAAGGGGTAAAACTGGTTCCAGAAAAGCCTCAGTTCTTCACTGTACTACTTTTTTCTGGGAACCACCTTTTAGAGACACTACAAACTGGTATGTGTCCAGAGGGGAATCGTCAGAATGAAGAGGGATTTCTGAGTTTGCAATTTTACTAGCGTCTGAATAAAACTGCAGGACAGTCCTACCTACCTTGATGCTGATTCTCTGTCTGAGTAGACCTAGTGACATAATTGATATAAAATTCAGCTGCTTTGTTCAAGTATTTATATAATAAATTGGCAGGCAATCGAACATCATGGTTGTTAATTATTAGAGGAAGGACATCACAAACTGTTGAAGAGGGAAAAATAAGGAAAAAACTATTAAACTTTCTGTCTATCCCAAGTTCTGGCAAAAAAAAATGAATCATTTTAGAGTTCATTTAATGTAGTACCTGAACCACATGGGGGAAAAAACCCTTTTGGCACATTTAGTTAAAACCTGTAGTGCATAGGGTCACCAGTAGATGGAGCTAGGGGGCAGCACAAAGGCAGATTCTACATTACCGGCAAGGGTCCATTTCTTAAATTGGGTGGTAATTCAGATGTTTATTACTATGCTTGATACTTAAGTATATGGTCACACATATTCTTTTGGAGGTATCAAATATTACATAATAAAAATTGAGAAGTTATTTAAAGTGCTTTCTGGGCTTAAAATATAGACAAGAGTATATATTCCATAATACAAAAAAAGCTCCTGCTTTTTTTTAACCCTGAAAGGATATGTATACCAGCATATTCTGCTTACTTATTTTGTAATAAAAAGTACAATTTTTCTCACCAAATAATTTTCTAAAGCAGTTAACAGGGGATTCTTGTTCTTCAATAGTTTCAGCCTCTAATAGTGCCTCCCCAAGGCCAACCTGTTTCAAAACACAATTAACCATGTAAATGTGTTACAGTGTAAGACGTCAGAATTACATGAAGAAACAGGCTATGTTTAATTTGCCACATAGATTGTATACTCAAACTTTGAGGAGAAACAAATATTCTTATTTCAAAGACTAGAAAAGAATGCATCAGCAACATAGCCAAGAAGGGAACCCTAAATTCACCCAACCACAGCCTACTTTGTCTTGGTTCTTCTCCTTTGAACGAGCAAAATTAAAACGTTAACCAAATGCCTACTTGAAGCACTGAACTTGAAGCACTGAAAGTACAATTAGAATGATAATTGAGGTGTAGAGATTTTCTAAGAAATGTGGTAACTTTATTCTCCACACCAAGATGTATTATGTAGACAAACTTATCACCTTCAAGAGCTGTCAGAAGTCGGTCATACAGCCTGGGCTAGACCAGACAGAACTGTCTGGGTTTTAAGGCTGCCTTTCCATTACTGATGCTCTAGGAGAGTAGAAAGTCAGCTTACCAAAACCCTCCAAGATGTCTGCATTATCTTCCCTGCCACTGCTCGGGGATGCATGGGGGAGGGTGGGACAGTGTAAAAGATTACATGACAGAAAGTTAACAGAGCAACGATCAGAGAGTGTACCGAGCTGAGTCGCGTCCCTCCAAAACTCACGCCCACTCAGAACCTCAGAACGTCAGGTAACATATATACCATTTTATTAAAAAAGTAGGGTGTTTATAGATGCAATTAGTTACAATGAGGTCATACTGGATCAGGGCAGATCCTAAATCCATTATGTCTTTATAAGAAGGTTATGTAAAGACAGACATGCAGGGAAGAAGGCCCTGTGACAATGGAGCAGAGATGGTAACGATGAAGCTGCGAGCCGAGGTCTGACAAAGATGGCCGGTGGCCACCAGAAGCTGGGAGAGGTAGGGGAGAGTCTTCCCCAGAGCTTCTGAAGGGAGCAGAACCCTGCCCACACCATGCCTCTGGCTTCTAGAATTGTGAGGATAAACTGCTGTTGCTCCAAGCCACCCAGTTTCTGGTACTTTGTAACAGCAGCCCTGGGAAACCAACACACGGAGATGCAGAGGTGAGCTGGGGCCAGAAGGCAGGAGAATGGCGTGGGAAGAGTAAGCAGAAGAGTTTGAATGACTAGAGTTAATGACCGAACGCAGACTTTCCCCCTTGCTGGTTGTGGGAAGTTACTAACATACGTAAGACTCTGTTTCCTCATCTGTAAAGTGCAGTCCTATCCATGTTAAGGGGACGGGGGAGTACAGAAGGAGAGACCTCACTCTTAGTAAGGCCTGCCAGGGGCACTCAGTCATTATCACAGATACAAAGGAAGGGCAGGAATACAAAGAGGGAAAACATGTCCACAGGGCAGAAGCATATGAAAAACAAGTCTGTTAAGACTAGACTGGCTCTCAAGTAAATTCGAACACACTGTTGACTACAATGGAATAATATTATTTTTTTAAACTTTATAGATTGCAAATAACTAGCACTGTCAAAGCTTGGTGACTGTTGCCTTACACTGATAAGACAACTTCTAGAAATTCATGGTTTGATAAAGAAATTTATAAAGTTTGATTGAAGGGTAACATCCTTTTAGCTTTACTGACAAAGATTCCTTGATTCAAGTTCAATCTTTTACAGTGCTCCGAATTTGTCTTACAATACACACTATAGTTCCTACTCATAATGATGAATCTGTTGATCAATTTTATTTTCTTAAGAAAAAGGAAAAGATCCACTCTCACCCCATGTTGCACCACTGTCTCAGGGAAGCGTCTCAAAAGTAGCAGCAGCATTTCTGATCGTTCCAACGTGTTGAAGCATTGTTCTGTAACCTTCAGCAACATTTCACACTGGACGCGACCAGGGAGAGTTTCAAATAAACCTGTACAGAACACATTTCACTTTAAAAAGTTTCTTTTGGAAAGAAAATACTGAAGCAAAAGTGGAAGGTATTTTCATACAGATCAGTAAATACTACATGAAGAATCGCTGGGTTCTACCTATGAGTAGGCTTTTGGACCAGATGGTTTTGGACCAGATGGTTTGGACCAGATGGTTTTAGGTATAACATGTTTGCCGAATGGCCATGAAACACTGGAGGACTTAAGGGATCCAGAATAAGGTCTGTGAAGGTTCACAACACTGCTTCCTGCTGGCTGAGATAGAGGGCATGCACCTGTTTCAGTTGAAATGACTTAAACCATCTACAGGTAACTCTTGAATGACATTGGTTTGAACCATGTAGGTCCACTGACATGTGGATTTTCTTCCAAAAATTTATAGTGGAAAAATTTTTGGAGATTTGAGACAATTAAAAAAAAATTTTCTTTTCTTTAACTTACTTTATTGTAAGAATACAGCCTATAATACATTTAATATACAAACTACATGTTAATTGACTACACTATCGGTAAAGCCTCTGGTCAACAGTTGGCTATTACAATTAAGTTTTGGGGCAGTCAAAAGTTCTATGCAGATTTTTGACTGCACTGGGGGTCTATTCCCTTAATCCCTGTGTTGTTGATAAAACTTTTTTATCCATATCTTGAAATCTTTGGATACTGCAATCAACATAGGCTGAAGGTTAATAAGAAAGGTAATAAATTACTAAGAGTTCCTCGTTTCATGGAGATGTAATCTACAGGTGCTGATTACTGTAAAACCTGGAAAAAATATATTCAGTTCCCTAGGCAACTGATAAATGCACATCCTTTAAAGAAGCTTAATAAGCAAATGCTCAAAAGACCAAGTGACATCATTTGTCACTTGTCTGTAGTTGCTAAGAATAAAACATACATATGGGTACCAACACCACAGATGTGACTTTTTTGTGAAATTAGTATATGTAACTTGTTATTCCAGAAATGATAATTTGTACACCATTAAGTCATCACTCCATTCTTACTTCTTAAAAACTGGGTTTGTTTGTCCTGTGAATCATTCCTTAATGCTGATGTAATAATGCTGATTTCTCTCCACACCACAGGCTGATCTGGGAAATTCACAAACCTATTTTTAAAACGAATGCATTAAATTAAAATGCCAGATTCTATATAGTACCAGAAAAAGAAAGTAAGAACATTAGCATTTGGAGAAAAACGCAGTTTTTTTTTTTTTCTTTTGAGAGGGCATCTCTCATATTTATTGATCAAATGGTTGTTAACAACAATAAAATTCTGTATAGGGGGGTCAATGCTCAATGCACAATCATTAATCCATCTCAAGCCTAATTCTCATCAGTCTCCAATCTTCTGAAGCATAAAACGAACAAGTTCTTACATGGTGAACGAATTCTTACATAGTGAATAAGTTCTTACATGGTGAACAGTACAAGGGCATTCATCACAGAAACTTTCGGTTTTCATCACGCATTATGAATTATAAACAATCAGGTCAAATATGAATATTCATTTGATTTTTATACTTGATTTATATGTGGATCCCACATTTCTCCCTTTATTATTATTATTTTTATTTTTAGTAAAATGCTGAAGTGGTAGGTAGATGCAAGATAAAGGTAGAAAACATAGTTTAGTGTTGTAAGAGAGCAATTGTAGATGATCAGGTGTGTGCCTGTAGACTATAACACAGTTCTCTTTATTCCAAGTGAATTGTAGATGTACCAAAACAAACCAAAATAAAGATACAAAAATTAAAACTAAACATGAAAAATGAGGGAAGAAGTCTTTAGAGTTTTTAATAAGTGAAAACACAAATGACCATGATATATAAATCACTCCTAAATATGAACAAGGAAAAAAACGACCTAAAAGAGAAAGTGGGTATAAGCAAATCACGGAAAAACACAAATTGGCAAAGAGAACATTTGAAAAGATAAACATATTAGTAACAATGAACACAAATTTTTAAAAAATAGCAAGATACCATTTTCTCTTCTTACACAGAATCAAAATCTGATAGACTTGATATCTAGGTGGGCACTGGGGTGGGAAAACGAGCACCCTTATACACCTTTAGAGGCAATTCTACACCAATTTACAATGGTGTAAAAAAAATTACTCTTAATTTTCGGAGAGTAATTTGATAGGTATCAGAATGTTAAATGTACATGCTCTTTGACTATGAAAATCCATGTCTAAGAATCTATACTACAGAAAAACTCCAAAGTACAGGTACAAAATTGCTTACCTGACACTCTAATTTCCAAATAACAGGAAACTATCTAAACTTCTGACAATTAAGAGTGGTTATGAAATGCTATGCAGACATGAGAAAGAATGAAGTAGATCTCCACATGCTGACATGGAAAGGGTCCCTTTACGGAGGGTGAAGACAGCAAGCTGCAGCATAACGGGACTAGGAGGATCTCACTTCCGTCACCCCTCCGCACAGACAGCTACTTATATGTACTCTTCGTATGTATACACTTTACACGACTCCGGTTGACGTCAGGAGGGACTTCCCCTAGTGATTCTCTATCTTTCAGTATTGTCTGAACCTTTGTGAAGAGCATGTATTATTTCCCAAATAAGTTACTGGACAGAAAATTTTAGCAGGAACAAAACATAAGATTTCTCAGCAGAAGGAAGGCCAGCCATTAACGCAAGGCGCGGCCTCGTAGCAAAGGAAGCCCCAGGGCGCGGACGTGCAAGTGGGTCTGAGGGTCCCCACTGCCGACAGCCGCGCGCAGGGCCAGCGCCCACTCACATGTCGTAGAGCAGCCTCCCGGCGGGGGCGGTGCGCTCCGCATTCCGCTCGATGGTGTACATCTCATACTGCAACACAGGTCAGGCCCGTCACAACTGCGCGGCGCGCCCCGCCCCAACCCCGCGGTCGGCCGGCGTGAGAGCAACGCGACATCCGGGAACTCTGGGCCCCCGGCTCACTTAAGGCCCCGGGGCTCCCAGGGCTGGAGGAACAGCGTCTCAGATGTGGGAACAGACGGCCGCCGTCGGGATGAACGAGGGAACGAACGGCCCCCGCCTCGGGACCAGGCCTCGCAGCGGGGCCACAGGCCCCCGCCCCGCCCCCGCCCCCTGACCCGCCTGGGGGACGCCGGGCGCCGGCCTCGCGGGGATGTCCGGGCGGCGGCGCACAGCGCGCGGCTAGCGCCGCGACCGCCACACCCCCGGCGCCGGCATGGCCCTGCCCCACCTGGATGTTGAAGTCGGCGGGGTAGAGGCTGCGGGCCGTGATCAGCCACGACTTGGCCGCCCACAGGTCGTGCTGCACCAGCTCCCGGGCTCGCTGCACCAGGAACTCGCAGTCGCCTTGCGCCGACATGACGGGAATGCCAGGAGGCACCAGACCCTCGGGGGAGCTACTGCGCATGCTCGGGCGACCGCACGCCGAAAGGGCGGAGCGGAAGGACTCTTCCGGGTTTCGCGAACGGCCTCTTCCGGTCGGCCTCTTTGCCCCAATGCCGCAGCCGCCTTACGGAAGCCGGAGTCTCTATTCCGACTCTCCCAGGTCACCTTCTAGTGGAAAAGGGGATTCCACCCTAGGGAGCTCCAGCGTGACCAGGAGTACGCGCCGGGGTCCGCAGCCGAGAAGCTGCGGAGCCCGGTCGCTCCATCCTCTCCGCGCCCGCGTTTCTGGCCGCGTTGGGAGACGGCTAGTGCCGGGCGCACGGGCAGTTTCTGGGTGTCCCCGAGGCCTGGAGTCCGGGACCAGGCCGGGAAGCAGTGTGAGGGAGAAGGCAGAGGGGGCCCGGGCCGGTGGGGGACCCTTCCCCTGGGACCCTGAGCGGGGTTAGGGTTGCGAGGGAAAGTCTGGGCCCCCGCACAGCGGGAGTAGTAATGCCTCGCGCTTCGTCTCGTGCCCCTCGTGTTTTCCAAGAGTGGCCACATCTTATTGTGGCGCCTGTGTTCGCTGGTTTCTTCAACATTTATTGAGGAGCTGCGGTAATTAGCACTTGGAAAGGGCTTTGCTGCCTGCAGTGGGAGCCGCAGAGATGATGGGCTCTATCTCGGCGAGGATTTTACAATGTTATGGATGTGCCGCCAGAATCCATGTCATTCTCACCAACGCTCCAGATGTGTTTTTCACTTGAGAGAAGGAAAAGAATATCATCTCCCAGCTCTGGCGAAGGGAGGCTGCACTTAAGAGCTGGAGGAAGAAGGATTTTTTGCCTAATAGGAAGAAATGTGGATTCATCAGTTTTCAATCCAAGTTCTGTGTGCAAAACTTTTCGCACTGATCTTTGATTTAAAACCAAGAGATTAAGGACTGAAAGCTGATTTGTTTTAAAAAATAAAAATAAAAATTACTATGTATTTGTATACATGTCAAAATTGCATTTTAAATATATATGAGTATATACATTTTTATTCATGGATATATGTTATATGTGAAGTATAATATGTGCTTACTAATTATGATAATTTATAAGTGAACAGTCCTAAGGTTAGTAGTGAGTTAGTGTGCTCGTTTTAGAGGTAAGTACCAGAAAAACAGGTGCAAAGGAACTCTATGAGAGACATCAGTGCTATCAAATTCATAATGTCCAAGCTCTCTTATGTTATTTTGTTTATGATATTCTAAAATGGGAATTTTCAATATCTTTGCCCTTTATGCAAAATTTTTTAAATTTAAGTTTGGTTTCATTACCATCCTCCATGACATCTTTAGGTAAGATTCACTGTGTTAACTTCATACTCTGCTCTACTGATTTGTGTATTCAAGGAAGCATTTTGATTCTAAAGATGCTGTTTAATGTCCCCTGATTATGCACAGCAACAGCCTAATTATGTGATTACTTTGTAGGCTGGGATTGCCCAGTAGCAGAGTTCTTTTGGCTTTCATAGAAAAGATGAAGAATATAGAAAATTGAATTTAAACAAATAAGGAAAATTTTTATCTTATAAATTATAGGTCATAAAAACATTGCTGGCTAAATTAGTTTTATTATTTAACTGATTTAAAAAAATAAATTGTTATGTAAGGATATTTGAATGGAAAAATGACTGTTTTGTTATTAAACTTTTATGTTTTTGGTCTGGAATTACCAAAACAATACCCAAAAGAAAACTGTACCCTTATCTCTGAGTTTTTAGTTCTCTAGTGTTCTGTTAGATAACAGTTGTAACTGAACATTTTTAATCTAGGGCCTAAATAAGGGGACTTGATGTATTTCAGATGCCAACCAATTGAGACTGCATCTTGCTTTCCGCCACAATATAACGTCACATTTGTGGCTATTTTCCAACCACCTTCTTCATTCTGAAAGGTCTCTAGCTAAACATTTCTCCTCGGATGCCATGCTGGCTCTGAAAGCACAGAAGGGAGGTACCACACAAAGTGCATTTACATCTCAGCCTCCTTGCTCTGATCTTGAAGCCTCGCTAAGAATCTGGGTACCTGACTCTTGTTCCCCACAACTTCTCAGTCATGTAAGATGCCCAGCCGCTGGCATTCAGCCTAAAGATGCCGAATCTTCAGTTCGGTGATTTGTATTAAACTCTGTGTTGCTATTTTCTTTCCACTTCAAAATCTTAAAACTCAACAAATGCAACAACCTCTCTTACTAACACAACCTCTTGACTTGCCTGCCCTCAGCTCCGTCCTTGGATCTTTGCAGCAGCTTGCTCTCGTGTCTCCTCCTGGATTTCAGCTCCACAGACACCTTTCACAGGCACATTCCCTCGACACCTGCATTTGTCTCCTAGGGAGTCTGCCTCCTCCGAGGCTTACTCTTTGCCTACTGGTGCCAGAGCCTTGCTCCGCCCCTCAGCATGTTCAACATCGCTGCCTTCTTACCCTACCGCTGTGTGCACTCTTCAAATGACCAGCCCTGGATCCGTGCTGTGGTGCCTCTTCACAGATCCGAGACTTGCTTGAAATGGGTACAGTGAATAAATGTTCAGTGAATACGGAGGAGGCTGGGTCCTGTTTGGGAGGAGCGCTCTGTGGGCAGGTGGCTGCTGTTGTGGACTCCAGGGGGTCGTGTCCATCCAGGTTCTCAGCGACTCCACCTCCCCTTCTCTCATCAAAGCTTCCAGGCCTTTGTCATCTTTCTCAAGGGCTTGTAACCTTCATCTTGGGCAGATGATGGCCTTTTTCTCATAAGACTGAGGCCATCAAGCCTTAAACCCCATCCGCCTCGGACACCACGACCCTCTTTCTCTCAGGACCACACATCTGATCATATCTGTATTCGTATAACTCTTGGGATGGTTTCCCGTGTGCCGACGTCACGTTTGCCTTAGCTTTTGCCACCACCCGGACCCAGAGCTTTCGGTTCTTGGGTGTGGTGTGTTCTGTGTCACCTCCGCAAGGTCATGCAAGCCATCACTTCTGCTCTGCTTAGGCCAGTACACTCCCACTGCCAGCATGGAGGGGCTGGTTCTCTGTCTCAGGGAAACCTTCCCTGGTCCCGCGCCTCCTTTGTTCCAGGGTCCTTGTACTGTTTTGTAAGTGAGGTTATCAGACATTAAGCTCCATCAGATCAGGGACCTTTTATACTATTTTATACTCTGTATTTTTTACTATTCCTTTCCCAGCCCCTAAGGCATGGCAGACACATCAATATTAGGTACCAATAACATTTAGGTGAATTTTTTATTTCTCCCCCCTTTGCTCATGAAGTTACGTAAAATCTCTCATTTCATATGAATTTTATTGCCTCTAGTTTCAGAGGATAAGGGGTCCTGTTTGTTCAAGACCCAAATTTGCACCTGTGCTCCACCCCATAGCCTTGGCTTCCTTGGAGAATCTGCCTTATCAGTGATCCCCAGTCTACAGTTTCAATCTATCTATGCTGGTTCCTTCCAGAAAAGGACGTTTGTACTGGGCTACAGCTGTTTCCCGTAGGTGCCAGTCCATGCTGTGTGCTTAGGGGCCGTCCTGACCCCTTCACCAGCTGGCACGTCGTCCCTCCTGCTGTGAGTCTTGGCAGCTAACCGCTCACAGCTGTCCCTTCTCTGGAGCATTGGCATCAGCTTCCTTGAGAAGTCAGCCCTTCTCCAAGGATGAGTCAGGGTATGAAAGGCTGGTGCCCTTCTCTCAAGGGGGGCAGGTCATGGCATAGTTCATGATCCAGAGCAAGATTTGTCTGTGACCGCATTCATGCTGGGCTCTTTCCCCTTCCCGTCCTGCTTCCTTCCTTCACAGTTTTTCTTCAAGGGTGCTCCCTCAATAAATCACATGCTCCCCACATTCACTCGGGCACTTCCGGTAACCCCACCTAAGACAACAATTACTGGGCCTGGGAGCAATAGGGGGTGCCTTGTGCCCTCTCTGGATCCACATAGTGGCTTTGCATCGTTTGTGCAGCAGTGACATTTTCCCTTGGTAATTAGGACCAGTCATCTGACTAAGAAATTGTCCCACATGGGGGAGGTATAAGCAAACCAATCCCTGAAGGCCAAAGGGGCTGTGAGACCAAAGGCAGAGGCTTACAAGTCCAGACTGTATGCCGCAGAGGCTTATTGGGAGCTCACCTACAGAAGCTTGTACTGGGAGCCGGCAGGACGCTTTGGGGTTTAGGGAGGGCACTTTTTAGGGAGGCAAGGAGAAAGGGTCTATGCACAAGGTGTGTCTGTGTGTCTAGTCAAAGCCGGGGTGGGAGTCTTAGCCATGTTAATAGTTCCCAGTGAGATCTTACTATGGGACGTTTCCTATTTGCATGCATGCAGGATGTGGGGAGGGGTGACACGAGTCAGCTGTCACCATGGCGGGTTTGTCAAGATGGTGTCACCTCTGCTCACAGGCCTGCATAACCGCTTTGTCTTCTGCCTGTTCAGTGGCCTAAGGAGTCCGTATGTTCGCTGGCAGTCTCCATCCTGATTCAGTGGAACCGCGACTCTGTTGCCTCGTGGGCACCCTCCTCCCTTGGGAATTAGGACTTCCAAATTCTCAAAGCACAGGGTGGGGGATGTTTAGGTAAAATTCTGTCAGTGGATTATTAGGTGTGTTTTGCGGGGCCACTCCTTCCTCCCACCCTTGGTGGGTTTAAGGCATATACAGTGTCTGTAAGACAGGAGCCCAGTCTCTCAGGGTGTGATTTTAGCCGACACCCTAGTCAGGCCCCCAGGAGACCATTTTCCAGCATCTGTCAGGCACCTTCTTCTGGGTGATGGGAACAGGGCTAAGACAAGTGGATGCCTCAGGCCTGTTCCCTCTGTCCCTATTTCCTTTGCCACAGAATGGGCTCTTGGATCTGAAGTGACATTGTACGGGACACAGCGGTAATGAGTAAGGGGTTCTGCAAGTGCGGGAATGGGGACACACGCTGAGGTGTCACGGGGGCAAATCTGAATCCGTACTAGCGTGACTTCCCACGAGGGCAAACC